AGCTTATCTTATCTTTTCTCCTCAGACATCCAAGGAGGACCTGCTTCAGACTGACTTTGAGGGGGCTCTGAAGTTCTTCCGGGTCCAGCTGCCCAAACGCTACCGGGCTGCAGAGAACGCCCGCAGGCTCATGGAACAGGCCTGCAACATCAAGGTAGGAACCATTATTCTCTGTTTTCTGTTCACTCTGTTTCACACACTGCACCGACCACTGGTCCAAAAGTGAGCATATGCTTCCGACTGGGCGAAGTCCGGTTTTATTTTCAGAGATGTGGAATTGTCAGTCTAGTTGAATTGGATACATGACTTCTAAGCCAGGTTTGCCATCATAGCCAAACAGGTTATGATGATATCTACCCCTACCACTCCAGTATCTCTGCACATTGTAAGTATTGTATTGGCACTGACCCTGGAACTGACACTGTATCTAGCTTTCTCGTGTTCTTCTTATCAGTAGTACTATAAAACATTTAAAAAGTCAAGTGTTTTTGTTCTACTTGATTTTATGTTTTATAATACTACTGATATTGTTGGGAAAGAGCAAGCAAGAAAGTAATTGCACTGTATTAGTGCACGTGACAATAAAATGTAACTTGATGTTTCCTTGTAAACATATTTCCTTCTCTCAATATCTTCTATATCGAATGGCACACCACATCCGCGCCCTGTCAGTGTGTGGTTGTAGATGTACACTATACCTCCTACCTCCTCCCACATGGAGAATATAATGAGATCTGTGGTATTTGGGGAATGTGCTGAGGTCAGAAGAAGTGGCTTAAGGCTGCCTGCACGCACGCGTGCACGCAGACACACAGACACACAGAGAGATGGCAGCAGAGCATCACAGACTCAAGTCTTAACACGCATGCACACACTCTTACGCAGCAGCTCCCGTGTGTGTGTGCTCGTATGTTTTGTGTGTGTGCTCGTATGTTCTGTGTGTGTGTGTGTGCTCGTATGTTCTGTGTGTGTGTGTGCTCATATGTTCTGTGTGTGTGCTCGTATGTTCTGTGTGTGTGTGTGTGTGCTCGTATGTTCTGTGTGTGTGCTCGTATGTTCTGGTGTGTGCTCGTATGTTCTGTGTGTGTGTGCTCGTATGTTCTGTGTGTGTGGGCGCGTATGTTCTGTGTGTCTGTGCTCGTATGTTCTGTGTGTGTGTGTGCTCGTATGTTCTGTGTGTGTGTGCTCGTATGTTCTGTGTGTGTGTGTGTGTGTGTGCTCGTATGTTCTGTGTGTGTGTGTGCTCGTATGTTCTGTGTGTGTGTGTGTTTAGCTTGCTTTGCAACTGTGTATCGGGGGCAAACCAGAAAGCAGGGAGCTTTTGAGATTTTACAGGAAGGAAGAATAGTGATGGAAGAGATCATTCTCTCCATCCGCACCCATCCCTGCGTCTCTCTGCATCTATAAATGCATCTCTCTCTCCCTCCACCTCTCCCCTGTGTATGTCTAATCACAGGATATCCTGAGTGTAGACACTCTGCATACGTTATTATGTAATTATTGTCTCGTACAAGCTTGTCTTTGAAAGCTTCTGGAAGAAAATGATCTGCTAAATGTTTGAGTAATATTTCTTCACCTTCTCACATACTGACATGATAAAAAACTGTTGCGCGCGTGCTTGGGCACACACACACACTGCCCCTGCAGTACTATGGTGTTATATGCCAATGTGCGATCTTCTGAGTCATTTTGCCCTGAGAAATGTATTCGCTCTTCACACACACACAGTGAGTCAGCAGCAATAGGACAAGGAAGTGGAGGAAAACTCCTAATCTCTGTATTTTTCAACTAGCAGCTGTACATTGATTCTGGATCAACTCTCAAGTGTCTAGAGAGACTTTATTTGGCTCAACTTTGTGAGAGAGTTGAGACTTTGTGAGAGAGTGAGTGAGACTCTTTCACGCACAAACAGTCACATGGGCAGGTGCTGGTAGAGATTTCAATCACCTTTGGGTGTAGATAAACTCTGCAGCATGACTGAAGACGAGATGAAACCAGCCTGTACTCTGAGCCTGCATGGCTGTTTGTTTTGGTTTAACCACTCGACCCAAAGAGGAGGAAATCAAATTGACTGGCGGCTAAAAGACGGTCTTGACGGTGATTGTGGTGGCTTAACGTGTAATAGTAACCTTGTGAATAGCTGACTGACTGGCCCAGGAACTGCTGTGTAATACGAAGGACTTTCGTGCTCTGGGGCATCCAAGCAACTGCCTTGACTCTGACCCAGGGCAGGGAGAAATTGTTAAACTGTTACCAACCACTCTCTCCCTTCCCCCCCCCACACTCACTCACTCTCTCACACACACACACACACACAAGGGAGGACCATACAAGAAGCAGCGTCAGCACGTCAACCCCCATTGACTTCGCAGAAGACACACACAACAGAATGGCACAACCGTGTGTGTGTGACAGGACCCCACCACTCATGAAGCTGGAGACTCTTATCTCCCTCACTAACTTTAAGCATCAGTTGTCAGAGCACCTTACCGATCACTGTACCTGTACACAGCCCATCTGAAATTAGCCCACCCAACTACCTCATCCCTATATTGTTATTTATTTTGCTCATTTGCACCCCAGTATCTCTATTTGCACATAATCTCTTGCACATCTATCATTCCAGTGTTAATACTAATTGTAATTATTTTGCACTATAGCCTATTTATTGCCTTACCTCCATAACTTGCTACATTTGCACACACTGTATATATATTTTCTGTTGTATTTTTTGACTTTATGTTTGTTTTACCCCATATGTAACTCTGTTGTTGTTTTTATCGCACTGCTTTGCTTTATCTTGGCCAGGTCGCAGTTGTAAATGAGAACTTGTTCTCAACTGGCTTACCTGGTTAAATAAAGGTGAAATCAAAAAAATATAAAAAAATCATGAATTGCCTGATTTTAAAACCCATCCAGCAAGAGAGAGGGAACTGACCGTGTGTGTGAGGAATGAGCAGCAGCAGCCCTCGCATCTTGGGATTTCAATTCTCCCTTCAATGTCCTCTGAAGTGACATTGTGCCTGAGGTGTTTTGACAGAGAAGAGTCTCCAGAATTACATTTACATTACATTTTAGTCATTTAGCAGACGCTCTTATCCAGAGCGACTTACAGTTAGTGAGTGCATACATTTTTTTCATACTGGCCCCCCGTGGGAAACCTGCACAGGATCGGTACATCCGAACATCACACCTGCGGGACAGGTACAGGATGGCAACAACAACTGCCCTAGTTACACCAGGAACACACAATCCCTCCATCAGTGCTCAGACTGTCCACAATAGGCTGAGAGAGGCTGGACTGAGGGCTTGTAGGCCTGTTGTAAGGCAGGTCCTCACCAGACATGACCAGCAACAACGTCGCCTATGGGCACAAATTAGCCACTCTATTTTTGCATCTTGTCCTTTTTTAACACGTTTTTCACATCTTTTTGTGGAACTAAAAAAATATTTTATGGAAGGTGTGTATGTGCATGCGTGTTCCCTTCTCTCAGGAGACAAATCTCATGGAGTGAGTCCGAGAGATACTCTCATCACTTGGTGTCATAAGAATCAATGAATCACAGTGTCTACCGGCGACCACAACCATCATACCGTCAATGAATCTATACTTTACCACGGACAAGCGCAGAGTTGAAGCAGTTGATGATAAACCTCATGAATATGTTCATGAGAGCCAAGGAAGGAAAGCTAAGCTAGCCTGCTCAATTTAAATTGTCCTTACATTTTATTAGTTGATGTCTGAAGCGGATCAACTTGACTCCTAAGCAGCTTAGTCGAGTACAATAATTCACTGGCACCTGCTAGTTGGGAAGCGAGGCTAAGCTTTCAACGACTAACAACCCCCCCGGATTATGGGAAATAATTTACATTTCACAGCCCTTAAACGCCCCAAGGACGATGTTGAGGAAACATTGAGACATTTCCAGGACAAAAATAAGACTTATCGAGGCCTTGGAACCTTTTTTTAGTATTTTAAATCCATTCAAAACCAACTCTGGATTGCCACTGAAGGAGCTTGATTTGATAATTTCTTCTGCCTGCCTTTGAAATCCCTCTGTTTTCACAAGTTAGAAGAGAGGGAGAGGGGGAGAGAGGGAGGGGAGGGAGGGGGAGAGAGATTGCTGTTTCTTAGACGCTACTCCCTTGAGAGAAGGAAGAAAGAAGAGAAGGAGGAATAAAGGATGAGAATGTTGTATACAGTGCCTTTCCCCACCAGGGAGCTCTCCTAAGAGAGAGCTGGGCAGAGCCTCAGCAGGAACTACTAAAGCTAACCACGATGGGGTCCTGATGAGTCCGGCTGCAGGCAACGCTGCAGACAGCTGTGTGGTTTAGCTTTTTTGTGGCACCTTGAATTCAAAGCGTAAACTTTGGGACTTGATTTGAATTGCAGTCATATTTTTTTTCTTCTTTTTATTCATTGTTTTCGTTTTTAAACTTTTTTGGGGAGGACACACACAGTGTGTGACGTGTGCAGACTGCGGAGGCACTTACCACATCGAGTCATTGTGGTCTGACAGTTCCAACACTTCCTCACACAGTTGTGTGTGTGTGTAGCCGACTCAGAGTGCGACTAAACCAAACTTCATCTTACCAAGACCGAAGAGAGTGGAAAATAATACCAGGAGTGCAACCCGAGAGGAGCGGGAAAAACGCCACGGAAGAGGACCAACAAATGAAGAATAGAGGAGGGGAAATACTCTTCTGAGGAAGAGGGGGAACGAAAGACACTATCCTCCTCACAACACGCTTCAGAACACCAAGCAGCAGAGGGAGAAGAGACAACAGGTGTGTTGTTCTGCAGGGCTCCCTCCTCCCTCGCTCAATCACTCCCTCCCTTAGGGGTGTGGCTTGTACCCTGAGGGACATTGAAAGAGGCCAGTCACTCCTCAGGCTCTCTGACAGACCTGTTGACTCCACTCTTCCTCTGCACTTCTTTCTTCCACTCCTTTACTGTTCTCCTCTTCACCCACCTGTGGAATCGACTGCCCTGTGCCAAAATGATGGAAGAGATCTCTATCACGGTGGCGTACGACGCCCACGTCATCAACCAGATCTGTGAGGAGGATATCCTGGCTAGCCTGGTGGCCCTCTCCAAGCCTCCCAAACCTGTGGTAGGTCTAAGTCCCTCCTCATTCCTGGCTACTTCGGCAACTCAACTCTGTTCATGCACTCTAACTGCCTGAGAACGGCTAAAGGAAACACTTTTTTTGCAGGAGCGAGAGAACTTTATCTTTCCTGCTGTCTTGTAGGAGACGGTGTAGATTGTAGCGTGTGTGTGTGCGTTGATACACTGAAACGTTGTAGTTGTAGCTATAGTTCAGTCGGTGTGTTCTCATGGACATCTTTTCCCTCTCTCCAGTCAGCTTCACCTCAGGACGCTAACGAAATTACAACTGTCAGTTTGTTTCAGTTAGAGATGTATTTTTGTGCTCAAATGAGACCTTACTCTTCACCCAGCATGTATACCTGTGCGTGTGTGTGTGTGTTTGAGATTGGTCATCGAAGTCAAAATCCGACCCAGTTTTTCCTGAAATGGCTGTTTTGAATCCTTAGGTAAGTGCAGTCATTTCAATATTCAAACGCTTTCAGCCAGGTAAGGCAGGCACCATTATGCAACAGAGAGCTAGCCAATATTCCCCCAGTGCACGCAGTCTGTCAGGTCTAGTAGAGAACACTGTGCTTGTCTCAGATTCATGCATTTCATGTCAGCTGGGCTCAGTTCAATGGCTACTTCTCACATTAGGTCATCATGCATTGAAATTCAAATCAAGAACCATTTTCAACACTCTGAATTGAATTTCAATGGATTTATTGAATTGGAATTGACCCCAACGTTGACATACAGTGGGGAAAAAAAGTATTTAGTCAGCCACCAATTGTGCAAGTTCTCCCACTTAAAAATATGAGAGAGGCCTGTAATTTTCATCATAGGTACACGTCAACTATGACAGACAAAATGAGAATTTTTTTCTCCAGAAAATCACATTTGTAGGATTTTTAATTAATTTATTTGCAAATTATGGTGGAAAATAAGTATTTGGTCAATAACAAAAGTTTCTCAATACTTTGTTATATACCCTTTGTTGGCAATGACACAGGTCAAACGTTTTCTGTAAGTCTTCACAAGGTTTTCACACACTGTTGCTGGTATTTTGGCCCATTCCTCCATGCAGATCTCCTCTAGAGCAGTGATGTTTTGGGGCTGTCGCTGGGCAACACGGACTTTCAACTCCCTCCAAAGATTTTCTATGGGGTTGAGATCTGGAGACTGGCTAGGCCACTCCAGGACCTTGAAATGCTTCTTACGAAGCCACTCCTTCATTGCCCGGGCGGTGTGTTTGGGATCATTGTCATGCTGAAAGACCCAGCCACGTTTCATCTTCAATGCCCTTGCTGATGGAAGGAGGTTTTCACTCAAAATCTCACGATACATGGCCCCATTCATTCTTTCCTTTACACGGATCAGTCGTCCTGGTCCCTTTGCAGAAAAACACCCCCAAAGCATGATGTTTCCACCCCCATGCTTCACAGTAGGTATGGTGTTCTTTGGATGCAACTCAGCATTCTTTGTCCTCCAAACACGACGAGTTGAGTTTTTACCAAAAAGTTCTATTTTGGTTTCATCTGACCATATGACATTCTCCCAATCCTCTTCTGGATCATCCAAATGCACTCTAGCAAACTTCAGACGGGCCTGGACATGTACTGGCTTAAGTAGGGGGACACGTCTGGCACTGCAGGATTTGAGTCCCTGGCAGCGTAGTGTGTTACTGATGGTAGGCTTTGTTACTTTGGTCCCAGCTCTCTGCAGGTTATTCACTAGGTCCCCCTGTGTGGTTCTGGGATTTTTGCTCACCGTTCTTGTGATCATTTTGACCCCACGGGGTGAGATCTTGCGTGGAGCCCCAGATCGAGGGAGATTATCAGTGGTCTTGTATGTCTTCCATTTCCTAATAATTGCTCCCACAGTTGATTTCTTCAAACCAAGCTGCTTACCTATTGCAGATTCAGTCTTCCCAGCCTGGTGCAGGTCTACAATTTTGTTTCTCATAGTGGAGTTTGGAGTGTGACTGTTTGAGGTTGTGGACAGGTGTCTTTTATACTGATAACAAGTTCAAACAGGTGCCATTAATACAGGTAACGAGTGGAGGACAGAGGAGCCTCTTAAAGAAGAAGTTACAGGTCTGTGAGAGCCAGAAATCTTGCTTGTTTGTAGGTGACCAAATACTTATTTTCCATCATTTGCAAATAAATTCATTAAAAATCCTACAATGTGATTTTCTGGATTTTTTTCTTCTCAATTTGTCTGTCATAGTTGACGTGTACCTATGATGAAAATTACAGGCCTCTCTCATCTTTTTAAGTGGGAGAACTTGCACAATTTGTGGCTGACTAAATACTTTTTTCCCCCACTGTACATGCTTTTTTTTTGTGTGCAAATGATCGATAATGTATTTTTTCTTACACGTGGGCACTGCGCATACATATGCACGTGCCTTAACTATGTATTCTGTGAGGGTCTAGTATTGAACAGGAATGTATAACATTGTACTGTAATCTCTAACTGTTGTGTGCCTGTTGGTTATAGCTGGCTGTTGTACTAGTAAGGAGTGACTGTACATAGGTTATCACTGGAGAGCTGAGCCTCACGAACACTTGCATATTCCTTCAGTGGCTCAAGGTTAGCTTATACTTAGGCTGTGTCCCAAATGGAACCCTATTCCCTATATAATGCAATACTTTTGGCAAGTAGTGCATTACATAGGTCATAGGGTGCCACTTAGAACTCAGCCTTAGTTTGTTTTGGTTCTCATTGCTCTGCATAGCCCCAAGCTGTCATTGCCTCCAAAATACACTATATATCCAAAAGTATGTGGACACCCTTTCAAATTAGTGGATTCAGTAATTTCAGCCACACCTGTTGCTGACAGGTGTATAAAATCGAGCACGCAGCCATGCAATCCCCATAGACAAACATTGGCAGTAGAATGGCCTTACTGAAGAGCTCAGTGCTAATGACACCTTTCCAACAAGTCAGTTTCTCAAACTTCTGCCCTGCTAGAGCTGCCCCGGTCAACTGTAAGTGCTGTTATTGTGAAGTGGAAACGTCTAGGAGCAACAACGGGCTCACCTGCGAAGTGGTAGGCCACACAAGCTCACAGAATGGGACCGCCGAGTGCAGAAGCGGGTAGCACTTAGAAATCGTCTGTCCTCGGTTGCAACACACTCACTACCGAGTTCCGTCAGCACAAGAACTGTTCGTCGGGAGCTTCATGAAATGGGTTTCCATGGCCGAGCAGCCGCACACAAGCCTAAGATCACCATGCGCAATGCCAAGCATCGGCTGGAGTGGTGTAAAGCTCGCCGCCATTGGACTCTGGAGCAGTCGAAACGTGTTCTCTGGAGTGATGAATCATGCTTCACCATCTGGCAGTCCGACGGACAAATCTGGGTTTGGCGGATGCTGGGAGAACGCAATCTGCCCAAATGCATAGCGCCAACTGTAAAGTTTGGTGGAGGAGGAATAATGTTCTGTGGTTGTTTTTCATGGTTCGGGCTAGGCCCCTTAGTTCCAGTGAAGGGAAATATTAACGCTACAGCATACAATGACATTGTAGACGATTCTGTGCTTCCAACTTTGTGGCAACAATTTGGGGAAGGCCCTTTCCTGTGTCAGCATGACAATGCCCCCGTGCACAAAGGAAGGTCATACAGAAATAGTTTGTTGATCAGTGCCCATGATTAATGATGATTGAATTAATGCCCATGATTTTGGAATGAGATGTTCGACGAGCAGGTGTCCACATACTTTAGCTTTTGGAATATATTTTGTATGGCATATTTTAGATTTGGGAATCTATTTCTGGCATATTTTAGCATAAGGAGTATATTTTAGCATTGGGAACATCATTTCACATGTTTAAGCATTGAAAATACATTTTGTATGGCTCATGGATAAATGGCTAGACAATAAGCTACTTCAGATGGCGAAATGAGTCTGGATAATGTTGAAATTATCATTTTGTTTTAGTGAGCAACATTAGAGGGCTATCATTAGCTTTGTTTTGTGGGCCTGTTAATAGTCATAAAGGGGAATGCTGAAGGCCTATATACAACTTTAATGGAAAAAGTGAGGGTGAAATAGTGTCATCTTCTGCCACTTTCAAGGCTGTCTGTGGTCAGATATGACTGATAATGCGAGGGGAAGAATGAGTGTGTGGGAAAAAGAGGACGGGGGAGAGTGGGCTGGAGGGGGAAACCAAGTGCCTTCTTTTCGAGAAGGTTCCATAGTATGTTGTCATCGGAAATCAGAACTGAAAGGGTGTATGGAAGCTTTTAGTGTGGTTTTGTTTTTTGGCTCGTGCTCTTCCTCTGCAGGTCATTTTTGCAAGTCACTTCACACCTTACAGCACCCCCATCGAGAGACGGTTGGGCTACTCATTGGCTCTCTCTCTTTCTCACTCACTCACTCTCTCTCTCACACACACACACACACACACACACACCAGGACAAGCTTCTATGGCATATTCCTTTTCAGATGAAAGCTCTGTCCTTTCATCAGGAGTATTCCGGCTCTGTCTCTCTTTCTCTCTATTTCTCTACATCTCTCTCTCTCTTTCTTTCTCCGTTTCATGTTGTTTTCAGATAATGGCTGCTAGGGCTGTGACAATACCATGGCAAAAATGAAAACATGAAGCAGACCAAACTCTTTGGTCCTTTAAAAACCTGCTGTATGTAAAGTATTGTGTGCTATAGCTTGGAAAATAAATAAATGTGACTCTGGATGACAACATAATGATGTTTTTTTCCAACATTAGGGCTGTTTTCCTTCCTTTTTTTTGGTTTACTTGTCATGATACAAACGAGCATTGCGATACTGGTATCATCGTGGCCCTAATGGCTACCTTCTCTCTACCCTTCTCCACTCTCCTCCTAGAGCTAATGCTGGTATCTTTCCAGGGCATCACACACCTGAACACACACACACACACACACACTCTTGTGTTCAGTCGTGGAGCGTAAACAATGCTGATAGGCTATCTTATCAACCACACACATCTATTAGCCTATACGTTACAAAATACAGCAAGGAACAGGGTTGACTGCTTCTAGAACTTTCTATGGATTCCTGCCTTGTTTCTTACCTGTCTGTAATAATATATTACATGAGGACTGGTGAGTTCATGGTGTCCGTATATGCTCTAAGACACTGGGCCTAGCATGCTATCAGGCTGAGAACAAACGACATGGGAAGATGGCTTGCTAACAATGGAGTATTTGTAGTAGGGATGCGTTGTGGGTAATTGATAACCTAAGGGAGGTATATTTGCCCCCTGGGTCCCACAGGGCAAGGGCCAGGTGTACATTATGCATGGCTAGGCAGGCTAGTGAAGAAAGAATATAATGTCCAGGCAACAGGCTGTTTAGTATCCTCATTATAAACCTAGTACAGTATGCAACATCTTTTTACTACATTCCATACAGGAAATGTACAACATTGATCTCTCATGACACAAGGCAATGGGACGTAAGTTGTCCCAAACTAGTGTTTTCATCCCAACCAGCTCCTATTGTGTGACTGAGCCCTTGAGAGCCTCTTGACAACTCCAGTCACTGTGTAACTATGGTGAACACATGAAACCCACCCATACTCTCTCTTTCTCTCTCATCTCACTCTCTCTATCACCGCTCTCTTTCTCACTCTCTCTCTATCACCGCTCTCTTTCTCTCTCACCTCACTCTCTCTATCACCGCTCTCTTTCTCTCTCTCACCTCACTCTCTCTATCACCGCTCTCTTTCTCTCTCTCATCTCACTCTCTATCACCGCTCTCTTTCTCTCTCTCATCTCACTCTCTCTATCACTGCTCTCTTTCTCTCTCTCACCTCACTCTCTCTATCACCGCTCTCTTATCTCACTCTCTCTATCACCGCTCTCTTTTCTCTCTCACCTCACTCTCTCTATCACCGCTCTCTTTCTCTCTCACCTCACTCTCTCTCACCGCTCCCATATCAATCATCACCGCTCCATCTCACTCTCTATCACTGCTCTCTTTCTCCCCCCTCTCATCTCATCTCTCATCTCACGCTCCTTTCTCTCCTCACTCCGCAGTGACCCTACTCCTCTCTCACTACTCCACCAGTGACTCCTATTTCCTCTCTCTCATCTCATCTCTCTCTATCTCTCTCTCTCTTCACTCTCTCATTCTCTCTCTCTCTCACTCCAGCCAGTGAACTCCTATCTTCCTCTCTCTCATCTCACTCTCAGCCAGTGAACTCCTATCTTCCTCTCTCTCATCTCACTCTCAGCCAGTGAACTCCTATCTTCCTCTCTCTCATCTCACTCTCAGCCAGTGAACTCCTATCTTCCTCTCTCTCATCCTCCACCAGTGAACTCATCTTCTCTCTTACTCACTCTCAGCCAGTGAACTCCTACTTCCTCTCATCTAATACTCAAACATCTCATCCAAAGATGAACTCCTATCTTCCTCTCTCTCATCTCACTCTCAGCCAGTGAACTCCTATCTTCCTCTCTCTCATCTCACTCTCAGCCAGTGAACTCCTATCTTCCTCTCTTCTGTCTCTGCCCTTTCTCTTTTACTCATCCCCCTCTGTCTTCCCTCTTTCTCAGCCAGTGAACTCCTATCTTCCTCTCTTCTTTCTCTGCTCTTTCTCTTCCTTCCCCTTCTTTCTTCCTCAAACAGTGAGCTCCCATTTACCTCGTTCACCCTCCTTCTCGTCCATGAGCTTTTATCTCTGGTGGTATCAGCCGGTGAGCTCTGCCCCCCTCTCTCTCTCCCGTAGGGGCCTCTGGTGGCTGTATCCATTAACAATGCCCCTCCCCTCTGTGGCTTGTTTTGCCCCAGACAAACCTGTAATCTACATCCTAGCAGCAGCTGCCATGGCAACACCAAGGGCTGATCCACCCTAGGATACAATTTCCTTAGGCACAGATCTGGCTGGCATAGAGAGCCTTGACCAAATGTGTTGTCATGTTTTGAAGTTTTAACTCACTACTGTGCAGGTGTATATTTACCTTAACACCCGTGTTTTGGCATTAGGGTATCTTGGTAGTTCTGGCTTTGGCTTTGTTCATGATACTTGTACTGCCTGTTGTTCAGCTCCTGCTGTGTTTTTTATGCTGGAAAAATGAGGCTAGAGTGGTTAGCTAGAATGTAAATGAACAAGTGTACATTATGTAAATGTGTTCTCTGCACAGAGTAGTAGGGTTTTGAGGTGTGTCTTTGGGGGTTGTGTGATGTCAACGATCTCAGGAGACACAGGCGGCAGCCATTTTGTGCCAAGGCATGTAACAGTTAATACATGTCTCTAGTAAAAGCAATAGTGAACAGGTAGGTGTACATTGATGCAGATCTAAGAGGAATGTTTATACTGATACTGTTCTGTTTCTGTTCCATCAGTGTGGTGATGAAAGTAAGAAGATATGCTGTGGAAACCCTAGTTTTGCCTTCAGTTAGGTTTCTACATCACAAGCTCACAAAGATCTCAGTAACCCTAACTTTCCATTACATCCATTTGGAGAAAAGGAACAGTCTGATTTAGCTCTGTTTGTCTCCCCATTGCCATCTAGTGGTTTAGAAGCTCTTTCACACTTTGGAACGCAAACTGTTATCATAGACCCAACATGGCTGTGGTTGCATTTTTTAAAGACCATTCCATCCAACAACACTGACTCAACTCTCCTCTCCTGTCACCCCTCCAGGTTCCCACCAAGAAGCTGAAGAAGTTTGAGAAGGAGTACCAGAGCCTGAGAGAGAGCCAGCTGCAGCAGGAGGACCCCATCGACCGCTACCAGGTAAGAAACAGACTACCCACAATCGTGTCTTAACCACTACTCCAGATTCAGTTTACTCTACCCCCAATCTGACTTAAACTGTTAGGCAGATGACATAATATCTGACCCTGTATCGGTAGTTGTGAGTAGGGGCCTCACTTCTGCTTACGCCCCATTCAGCCACTAAAATTACCCCAGTGTTTCCCATAGCTAGAGTTACTTAGGCAGGCCCCCTCACTGTGCTTGTATACCTCGAGAATTGGACCTCTGAAAAAAGGGTTGTTTGTAAAATATAGATGATACTTCGGAAGTCTTTGGTATTCCGCTTAAGAAACAACACCTAGGGGAAACACTGATATCCTTCCCAGTAGACGCCTGTCCCACCCCCTCCCTCCAGTCTCGGCTCAGGTCTTGTAGAACGCTGTGCTGATCATGGCAGACTACGCAAGACACACCCACAGTGGAGAGAAAGGGAAATCACTTTTTTGTTGTTGTTATGAGTGGAAGCCGTAGACTTTTGCTGGTCAAAGATATGGAAGAGAAAACAGCTTTCCCCTCTCACTATTGGAATTATGTTAAGATTCATAGGGATGATTCTGAATAATGTAATCCAATACAACCTCATCCAGTTAGTCTCAGATATCCCCGACCTTGGAGCTACAGTACGTAATCCTTCAGCTTTTCTCTGACTTTTCCAAATGGGGAAAAAAAAAAAAAACCTGGGCAGGGTTCTCTTCAGACAGACAACTCTCCCAACAAATCACACTTTTGGGTAGGCAGGGCTTAAATTGCTTATTAAAAATATTCCCCTCTGAAACATAGAGACGGACCCAATGCGCACGCATATAGCTATGCTAATCAGGGGAGAACGACTGGCAGTCACCCCTGGAATGAGATGAGGAACACCACATCCTCATTATAATTATGCCGCATAAATCATTATATACATTTTCAAAATGTTATAACCCTTCTACACTAAAAGGAGGGACATATTAGATGACTGCAACCTGTAAAACGTTACTATCTTCAAGTGACTGCTAGTTAGTTACCTAGCATTGTTCAGCCCATAGTAACTTAGACATCCAGCTAGCTAGCCAGCTAATAGCTTTAGCTTGCTCACTAGCCATTAGTAATGGGCTTGCTAATACATTTTATGTGTTGGTTATTAGTTAGCTAGCTCTACTACAGGCTAAACATTTCCCTTCACTGAAGTTATTCATTTTTCTTCTTGGGACTTGGATGTATCTTTTTTTACATAGACCAAAGCCAATCACCCATGCATTCTACTGTAGCTAGATACTGTACTAACCATACTCACTGGCAAGTTTCTTCCCTGCCCCCCAAGTTTGAAAATGCTAGAAGTAAACATTGATTTTGTTAGGAACTCCTCTCAGCTGGTTGTCTATGTCTTAATTCTACACAAATTGAAATGAAATAACCAAAACCAGCAGACGCACAGCCCTCCAGGAATTGAGTTTGACACCCCTGATCTAATGCAACATTTACTAATGTAAAGAAAACAGAGCATGTACAATCACTTTATTTTGTAGGATGATATAGCTTAATGGTGCATGAAGCAAACATGGGATGCCTTTGAAGTTGAGTAAAGATGTCCATGTTTTCGTCCTTCTGTCCCCTGGTGCAGTGGAACAATTCTTGTTCAGCCGCAGTAGCATTATTCCGGATAGTTGACGTCCTGTAAACAGTGAACGGGCATGTAGATGTCTATGGGACAGTTTTCAGACTGGATCTGACATTTTGAAATATATATTTCTTATTAAAAACTGCATTTGCATAATATAACACCCTCACAACCTCCATCCTCATAATCAGCATAACATCCTGGTTCTCTAAAATTCACATTCCAGGCTTGCAAACAGTGGTGCCAGTTGGCTGTGCAGCCTCAACCCAGTATGCGCGCACAACGTCTTCGGACATGTACATTTGAGTTGGCAATATGTATTCTAAAGACTTTTTGCACATTTGCAAGATGTCACCGAAATGGAGAGAGAAGAGAGAGAGAAAGAGAGGGGGAGACATTAGAATGTCTAGGCCCCGTGTAGCTCAGTTGGTAGAGCATGGCGCTTGCAACGCCAGGGTTGTGGGTTCGTTTCCCACGGGGGGCCAGTATGAAAATGTATGCACTCACTAACTGTAGGTCGCTCTGGATAAGAGCGTCTGCTAAAATGTAAATATGTGCTGGGGGCCATGATGCCCATGCTGAAGGGCAAGTAGGTGGACATCGCCATGGCACCTCCAGGGACCTCAGCTGCTGTGTATGTGGGCGACGGGGGTGACACTTGGGGACAGAGAGGGGTTACAATTTGCATAGGTGTTTTTACATAACCACCTCTGCCAGTACTTGGGGAACAGATTGTTTCCATAAACCTTAATGTAGACATTCTTAGCTATTTGCCGTTCAAGCAGGCAGACATACAGGCGGTATGACGAGTTTGGATGTATGATGTCATACCGGCTGTTTTTCTGCCTGCTTGAACGGCAAATAGCTCAAATACGCATGAAAACATGAAATTACCCCGGGAATCGATAGAACTCGCTCAGAGATGCAGAAATACGATATAACATTCAAAATGGCTGAATCTTCCTTTAAGTTCCAAAGGCTTCCAAAACCGTACCACTAGCGTGGATTAATAACGTTTCTAAACGTTAAACAGAGCGTGGGGATTGTAGTTCACATGGAGACAGCTGTCCTCCATAGCAGCCCAGTCACACAGCCACTATGTAAAAGATATTACTGACAAATGTTTTAAAGAGCAGCTCGTTTGCAAGTTTGTTGTTGTTTGGATGGAGAGACTGTAAGGTAGAGGTCTTCACGGGTCCAACAGACCTGAAATTCCGACTTCTGACCCTGTTCCCGAGCTGGTCCGGGTCCTAAAATCTGACTTTTGTCTTAGATCCGGGTCAAGTCTGATATAATTGCCACAGGTCTCAGTATGTGCAATTATAATGTATTTACCAACCCGATTTGGGCCCGTTTCTGTTAATTTAAAGTGTGTGAGGTGATGAGAACTGTGTGAACTTGTTATGCGTCAGCCAATTGCAACTCAGTAAAACATCTAGCATATGTCCAGCTGAAACTGGTTCCGGCTGCTCACCTCGCGTGCGCCTGCTGCTGAGGAGAGAGAGTGAAAGGAGCCTTGACCTAGGCTACTGTTGACTGCGAAGATGGAGGCATTTTTCATTGAAATAAAACTAAAGTTAGAGGAGAATAAGTACATTGAAAAGAAACCGACAAGGGGAATGTCCTCGGGGACAAGTTAATATTGTAGTGGACAAAGATGAGAAGAACGTTGGCCCGGCCAAATGGACTGTGTGCAACTCGCTATTCAGGTTTGATGCAATTTTCTGACTTGTATTTATTTATTTTCGTGTTTATTATTTGTTTTATCATTATTATTATTATTGTATATCATTATTATTATTGTAGGCCTATTTAAGAATATAAACCAGTTCTTTAAATATGCAAAAGTGTTTTGTTTCATTTTGTTGAGACAAATTAAGTTTGAACTGTCTTAATTTTGTGCTCCGTATTTAGTTTAAGATAGGTTAAAAGTATACATCATTAGCTTATTGCTGTCAAGTGTTTTGTTTCATTCTGTGAAGCCATTTTCTTTGGCCAAATGACGTTCCAACTGTAATGTTGTGTTTACTTCAATATAATAGAATTACCGGTAGGCCTACTATATGGCTACTCGCACTCAAACCATGAAAAGGAAAAACCAAAGAGGGCGAGATGCAAAACTTCATTTAATGCCGCAATATAATAACAAGTTGGTATTTTCCCTATAAACAATGACTTGACTTACTTTTGATATTACCCTAATAAGCTAGGAAACGTTTGTGAAGGTTTGGTGTGGTATGGTTGTTATTAGGCTTAGCTAGGCTGCAGGCATATGAAGGCAGTGCGCACCAGAGCGCCAACTGACTCCCACAGTTGAACTTGAGTTGAGGAAGAATGTTTTAGGCCTACCAGAGTTACTCCTTTAATCTATACTGAACAAAAATATAAACGCCATATGTCAAGTGTTGGTTTCATGAGCTGAAATAAAAGATCCCAGAAATGTTTAATACGCACAAAAAACGTATTTCTCTCAAATGTTGTGCACACATTTGTTTACATCCCTGTTAGTGAGCGTTTCTCGTTAGCCAAGATAATCCATCCACCTGACAGGTGTGGCATATCAAGAAGCTGATTAAACAGCATGATCATAACACCTTGTGCTGGGGACAATAAAAGGCCACTCTAAAATGTACAGTTTTGTCACACAACACAATGCCACAGATGTCTTAAGTTTTGAGGGAGCGTGCAATTGGCATGCTGACTGCAGGAATGTCCACCAGAGCAGGTTTGGGATGCTCCGGATCAACGTGTACGACAGCGTGTTCCAGTTCCCGCCTGTATCCAGCAACTTTTCACAGCCATTGAAGAGGAGTGGGACAACATTCCACAGGCCACAATCAACAGCCTGATCAACTCTATGTGAAGGAGATGTGTCGCGCTGCATGAGGCAAATGGTCACACCAGATACTGACTGGTTTTCTGATCCACGCCTTACCTTTCTTTAATGGTATCTGTGACCAACAGATGCATATCTGTATTCCAAATCACGTGAAATTCATAGATTAGGACCTAATGATTTCCTTAAATGAACTGTAACTCAGTAAAATCTTTGAAATTGTTGCATGTTGCGTTTATTTTTGTTTGGGGTTGTATTTTCTGGTTTGGGGTTGTTTGAGGTGATTAGTTGTACCCCCTGCTTGCTGTGCGCGTGCAGCAAATGAACTGTCGCTAATTTTGCAGAACAAGTTGTGTAAGTTTGTTTCTCCGCATACTGAACATGGTCTTATAATGTGTGGGGGTGTGTGTTAGTGATGCGTGGGTCAGCTGTTTGTTCACCCACACCCTCCCGCAATCTGAGGCCCGCATCTGACCCTAACCCGCAAATTAAGGAAAATTAAAAGCTGTTAAAACGACCTAACATGTTTTTGATAAGATTTCAGTTTGGCTTGATGCATATTTTATGCGTTTCAAATACTATCAGCTTTTATGATGCTGATAAAGATAGACTGCCCCTAACTGCGCATTCATTCTCTCAAGATGCTGAAATAAATAAAGAATATTTCTCCACTCCTGTTTCCAAGTCAAAATGTATATTTGGTGTATCACTTTACTGCAAGAAATGCTTAATTCTGCAGGAGTTAACATTATATTAGGCTATGTGAGAGGTTATAGACCTACAGTCGTTGTCCACATTTCCATTAGGCTACTATTCCATTTAACCCATCTGAACCGTATCTCTGTGCCCAGTGGGTTATGACTGTTTAATTTGTGTATCTCATCACACGTAACATAGCCGGCACTGCTATCATCCTCTTTTACCACTTCACCAAACATTAGACTACTGTTCTGGCCCTCCCTTCTATAACATTACGCTACTGTTCTGACCCTCCCTTCTATAACATTAGACTACTGTTCTGGCCCTCCCTTCTATAACATTACACTACTGTTCTGACCCTCCCTTCTATAACATTACGCTACTGTTCTAACCCTCCCTTCTATAACATTACACTACTGTTCTGGCCCTCCCTTCTATAACATTAGACTACTGGTCTGACCCTCCCTTCTATAACATTAGACTACTGTTCTGACCCTCCCTTCTATAACATTAGACTACTGTTCTGGCCCTCCCTTCTACAACATTAGACTACTGTTCTAACCCTCCCTTCTATAACATTACACTACTGTTCTGGCCCTCCCTTCTATAACATTAGACTACTGGTCTGACCCTCCCTTCTATAACATTAGACTACTGTTCTGGTCCTCCCTTCTATAACATTACACTACTGTTCTAACCCTCCCTTCTATAACATTAGACTACTGTTCTGATCCTCCCTTCTATAACATTACACTACTGTTCTGACCCTCCCTTCTATAACATTACACTACTGTTCTGGCCCTCCCTTCTATAACATTACACTACTGTTCTGGCCCTCCCTTCTATAACAGACTACTGTTCTGGCCCTCCCTTCTATAACATTACACTACTGTTCTGGCCCTCCCTTCTATAACATTAGACTACTGTTCTGACCCTCCCTTCTATAACATTAGACTACTGTTCTGGCCCTCCCTTCTATAACATTAGACTACTGTTCTGACCCTCCCTTCTATAACATTACACTACTGTTCTGGCCCTCCCTTCTATAACATTAGACTACTGTTCTGGCCCTCCCTTCTATAACATTAGACTACTGTTCTGACCCTCCCTTCTATAACATTAGACTACTGTTCTGACCCTCCCTTCTATAACATTACACTACTGTTCTGACCCTCCCTTCTATAACATTAGACTACTGTTCTAACCCTCCCTTCTATAACATTACACTACTGTTCTGACCCTCCCTTCTATAACATTACACTACTGTTCTGACCCTCCCTTCTATAACATTAGACTACTGTTCTAACCCTCCCTTCTATAACATTACACTACTGTTCTGACCCTCCCTTCTATAACATTACACTACTGTTCTGACCCTCCCTTCTATAACATTAGACTACTGTTCTGACCCTCCCTTCTATAACATTAGACTACTGTTCTAACCCTCCCTTCTATAACATGACACTACTGTTCTGGCCCTCCCTTCTATAACATTAGACTACTGTTCTGACCCTCCCTTCTATAACATTAGACTACTGTTCTGGCCCTCCCTTCTATAACATTAGACTACTGTTCTGACCCTCCCTTCTATAACATTAGACTACTGTTCTAACCCTCCCTTCTATAACATGACACTACTGTTCTGACCCTCCCTTCTATAACATTACACTACTGTTCTGACCCTCCCTTCTATAACATTAGACTACTGTTCTAACCCTCCCTTCTATAACATGACACTACTGTTCTGACCCTCCCTTCTATAACATTAGACTACTGTTCTGACCCTCACTTCTATTTATTTTCAACTCTCCATTGCACAGTTTTCCTCATCCAATTAACTCCGACATTGCCCGTTTTGCCTCAGTGGATCGCCGTTAACTTTTTCTGCCCACGTTTCCAAAAGCATTTGTCAGTTGGTGTGTATTTGGCATGCTACAGTTAGGCCCTATAGGTTAGGCTACATGCTAACGCCAGATACCAATAGGTTAGGCTACATGCTAACGCCAGATACCAATAGGTTAGGCTACATGCTAACGCCAGATACCAATAGGTTAGGCTACATGCTAACGCCAGATACCAATAGGTTAGGCTACATGCTAACGCCAGATACCAATAGGTTAGGCTACATGCTAACGCCAGATACCAATAGGTTAGGCTACATGCTAACGCCAGATACCAAGAATGAAAGAAAAACCTCCATGTAGCCTGTAGATATGAACTGCACAAGAATTAGACATTTATGGATTTCACACTTCATCCACACAATATTTCATGACCCTAAACCCGCCCGCGGGTTATGAGTCAACCCGCACATCACTAGTGTGTGTGTGTGTGTGTGTGTGTGTGTATACATACTTTTTTTATGGAAAATGTACTGGCTACGGCTGTGATATGTGATTGTCTCACCCAGCTATCTTAAGATGAACGCTAAATGACTAAAATGTAATGTGTGTGTGTTGCTGCCCACAGAGAGAGAACCGTCGGCTGCAGGAGGCCAGCATGCGGCTGGAGCAGGAGAACGATGACCTGGCCCATGAGCTGGTGACCAGCAAGATCGCCCTGCGGACCGACCTGGACCAGGCGGAGGACAAGGCAGACGTGCTGAACAAGGAGCTGCTCTGCACCAAACAACGCCTGGTGGAGACTGAGGAGGAGAAGCGGAGGCAGGCGGAGGAGACAGCACAGGTTACACAGCTCAGTCACACACGTGCAAGTGCTTCGGGAGAAGTGTTGGGACGCAGCCCAAATGACCGAAGTAGCAAGGGTTTTACGATCATAGCTAATGTGTGGTTGCGATCTTGCCCTGTCTGTCCAGATTAAAGAGGTGTTCAGGAGAGAGCTGGAGAAAGCTGAGTCAGAGATCAAGAAGACTACGGCTATCATCGCTGAATACAAACAGGTAGGATCCAGAGACATAAGAGAGGAGAGCAGTGTGTGTATGGTTCTAACCCCGTTACCTTACCTTTTAGACCCAGGTTACACCATAAAGCTGGTTTATAGTTACTTTTTTGATTCCACAATTTTACTGTCATTACCTTTGGTGCATTTAATGCATTGATTTACCTTGCCAGGAGCTGATGAGCTTTGTGTGGGTGGGGAGATCGGTGTATGATGTATGTTGATGATGTATGTTTTTAACCTGTGATATTCTATGTGGAAGCAGCAGCACTATTTCATGTCCAAGACACATTTCCCCTCGGGACAATAATCCTAATCCTACTATGTCCCTAAAATCCCATTAAATCCTAATTGAGATGCATCTTCTGTATGTTCTGGTGTTCAGGTGTATCTGAAAGGTCACTGAACCTGTCTAGGTAATACGTAATAGCTTTGTAAACATGCAGTCCTCCTGTGTGTTCCCAGATCTGTTCTCATCTCAGCACCAGGCTAGAGAAGCAGCAGGCTGCCACCAAGGAGGAGCTGGACATCATCAAGGTAGGACAAGATCTGTGTTGGCGTCTGTCATGTAATTATTATTAGGTGGTATGATGAAGGGTTCTAGTACAGTGTTAAGATACAAGCCCATCACTAGATCCAAGCCCATCACTAGATCCAAGCCCCCATCACTAGATCCAAGCCCCCATCACTAGATCCAAGCCCATCACTAGATCCAAGCCCATCACTAGATACAAGCCCATCACTAGATCCAAGCCCATCACTAGATCCAAGCCCCCATCACTAGATACAAGCCCATCACTAGATACAAGCCCATCACTAGATACAAGCCCATCACTAGATACAAGCCCATCACTAGATACAAGCCCATCACTAGATCCAAGCCCATCACTAGACTTGTATCACTAGATACAAGCCCATCACTAGATCCAAGCCCATCACTAGATCCAAGCCCATCACTAGATCCAAGCCCATCACTAGATCCAAGCCCATCACTAGATACAAGCCCATCACTAGATACAAGCCCATCACTAGATACAAGCCCATCACTAGATACAAGCCCATCACTAGACTTGTATCACTAGATACAAGCCCATCACTAGATACAAGCCCATCACTAGATACAAGCCCATCACTAGATACAAGCCCGTCCCTAGATACAAGCCTGTCCCTAGATACAAGCCCGTAACTAGATACAAGCCCGTAACTAGATCCAAGCCCATCACTAGATCCAAACCCATCACTAGACTTGTATCACTAGATACAAGCCCATCACTAGATACAAGCCAGTCCCTAGATACAAGCCCGTCCCTAGATACAAGCCTGTCCCTAGATCCAAGCCCCCATCACTAGATCCAAGCCCATCACTAGATCCAAGCCCATCACTAGATCGAAGCCCATCACTAGATCGAAGCCCATCACTAGATACAAGCCCATCACTAGATCCAAGCCCATCACTAGATCCAAGCCCCCATCACTAGATCCAAGCCCCCATCACTAGATCCAAGCCCATCACTAGATACAAGCCCATCACTAGATACAAGCCCATCACTAGATACAAGCCCATCACTAGATCCAAGCCCATCACTAGATCCAAGCCCATCACTAGATACAAGCCCATCACTAGATCCAAGCCCATCACTAGACTTGTATCACTAGATCCAAGCCCATCACTAGATCCAAGCCCATCACTAGATACAAGCCCATCACTAGATACAAGCCCATCACTAGATACAAGCCCATCACTAGATACAAGCCCATCACTAGATACAAGCCCATCACTAGACTTGTATCACTAGATACAAGCCCATCACTAGATCCAAGCCCATCACTAGATCCAAGCCCATCACTAGATACAAGCCCATCACTAGATACAAGCCCGTCCCTAGATACAAGCCTGTCCCTAGATACAAGCCCGTAACTAGATACAAGCCCGTAACTAGATCCAAGCCCATCACTAGATCCAAACCCATCACTAGACTTGTATCACTAGATACAAGCCCATCACTAGATACAAGCCCATCCCTAGATACAAGCCCGTCCCTAGATACAAGCCCGTCCCTAGATACAAGCCCATCACTAGATACAAGCCCATCACTAGATACAAGCCCATCACTAGATCCAAGCCCGTAACTAGATACAAGCCCGTGACTAGATACAAGCCCATCACTAGATACAAGCCCGTAACTAGATACAAGCCCATCATTAGATACAAGCCCATCTCTAGATACAAGCCCATCACTAGATACAAGCCCGTAACTAGATACAAGCCCATCACTAGATACAGTGGGGAGAACAAGTATTTGATACACTGCCGATTTTGCAGGTCGGCAGTGTATCCAGAAAATCACATTGTATGATTTCTAAGTAATTAATTTGCATTTTATTGCATGACATAAGTGTTTGATCACCTACCAACCAGTAACAATAAAATACTATGTATACACAACATAAAGACTATAAAGTATGTATACGCAACATAAAGACTATATATATAGTCTTTATGTTGCGTATACATACTTTATATATAGTCTTTATGTTGCGTATACATCCTTTATATATAGTCTTTATGTTGCGTATACATACTTTATATATAGTCTTTATGTTGTGTATACATACTTTATATATAGTCTTTATGTTGCGTATACATACTATATATATAGTCTTTATGTTGCGTATACATACTTTATATATAGTCTTTATGTTGTGTATACATACTTTATATATAGTCTTTATGTTGCGTATACATACATTTTATATAGTCTTTATGTTGCGTATACATACTTTATATATAGTCTTTATGTTGCGTATACATACTATATATATATAGTCTTTATGTTGCGTATACATACTTTATATATAGTCTTTATGTTGTGTATACATACTTTATATATAGTCTTTATGTTGCGTATACATACATTTTATATAGTCTTTATGTTGCGTATACATACTTTATATATAGTCTTTATGTTGCGTATACATACTATATATATATAGTCTTTATGTTGCGTATACATACTTTATATATAGTCTTTATGTTGCGTATACATACTTTATATATAGTCTTTATGTTGCGTATACATACTTTATATATAGTCTTTATGTTGTGTATACATACTTTATATATAGTCTTTATGTTGTGTATACATACTTTATATATAGTCTTTATGTTGCGTATACATACTTTATATATAGTCTTTATGTTGCGTATACATACTTTATATAGAGTCTTTATAATGTGTATACATACTTTATATATAGTCTTTATGTTGCGTATACATACTATATATATATAGTCTTTATGTTGCGTATACATACTTTATATATAGTCTTTATGTTGCGTATACATACTTTATATATAGTCTTTATGTTGCGTATACATACTTTATATATAGTCTTAATGTTGTGTATACATACTTTATATATAGTCTTTATGTTGTGTATACATACTTTATATATAGTCTTTATGTTGTGTATACATACTTTATATATAGTCTTTATGTTGTGTATACATACTTTATAGTCTTTATGTTGCATATACATACTTTATATATAGTCTTTATGTTGCGTATACATACTTTATATATAGTCTTTATGTTGTGTATACATACTTTATATATAGTCTTTATGTTGCGTATACATACTTTATATATAGTCTTTATGTTGCGTATACATACTTTATATATAGTCTTTATGTTGCGTATACATACTTTATATATAGTCTTTATGTTGCGTATACATACTTTATATATAGTCTTTATGTTGTGTATACATACTTTATAGTCTTTATGTTGCGTAACATACTTTATCTATAGTCTTTATGTTGCGTATACATACTATATATAGTTCTTATGTTGCGTATACATACTTTATATATAGTCTTTATGTTGCGTATACATACTTTATATAGTCTTTATGTTGTGTATACATACTTTATATATAGTCTTTATGTTGCGTATACATACTTTATAGTCTTTATGTTGCATATAGTATGTTGCTGCTATTCCAGTTTCAACTGTTCTGCCTGCGGCTACGAAACCCCTACCTGTCCCAGACCTGCTGTTTTCAACTCTTAATGATCGGCTATGAAAAGCCAACTGAGAGACCTGAGCCCTAGGACCATACGTCGGGACTACCGGCCGTGGTGACTCCTTGCTGTCCCCAGTCCGCCTGGCCTTGCTGCTATTCCAGTTTCAACTGTTCTGCCTGCGGTTATGGAACCCCTACCTGTCCCAGACCTGCTGTTTTCAACTCTTAATGATCGGCTATGAAAAGCCAACTGAGATATATTCCTGATTATTATTTGACCATGCTTGTCACTTATGAACATTTTTGAACATCTTGGCATGGTTCTGTTATAATCTCCACCCGGCACAGCCAGAAGAGGACTGGCCAACCCTCATAGCCTGGTTCCTCTCTAGGTTTCTTCCTAGGTTTTCGCCTTTCTAGGGAGTTTTTCCTAGCCACCGTGCTTCTACACCTGCATTACTAGCTGTTTGGGGTTTTAGGCTGGGTTTCTGTACAGCACTTCGAGATATTAGCTGATGTAAGAAGGGCTATATAAAATAAAATTGATTGATTGATTGATATACATACTTTATATATAGTCTTTATGTTGTGTATACATACTTTATAGTCTTTATGTTGCATATACATACTTTATATATAGTCTTTATGTTGCGTATACATACTTTATATATAGTCTTTATGTTGCGTATACATACTTTATATATAGTCTTTATGTTGTGTATACATACTTTATATATAGTCTTTATGTTGCGTATACATACTTTATAGTCCTTATGTTGCGTATACATACTTTATATATAGTCTTTATGTTGTGTATACATACTTTATAGTCTTTATGTTGCATATACATACTTTATATATAGTCTTTATGTTGCGTATACATACTTTATATATAGTCTTTATGTTGCATATACATACTTTATATATAGTCTTTATGTTGCGTATACATACTTTATATATAGTCTTTATGTTGCGTATACATACTTTATATATAGTCTTTATGTTGCGTATACATACTTTATATATAGTCTTTATGTTGCGTATACATACTTTATATATAGTCTTTATGTTGTGTATACATACTTTATAGTCTTTATGTTGCGTATACATACTTTATATATAGTCTTTATGTTGCGTATACATACTTTATATATAGTCTTTATGTTGCGTATACATACTTTATATATAGTCTTTATGTTGTGTATACATACTTTATATATAGTCTTTATGTTGCGTATACATACTTTATATATAGTCTTTATGTTGCGTATACATACTTTATAGTCCTTATGTTGCGTATACATACTTTATATATAGTCTTTATGTTGTGTATACATACTTTATAGTCTTTATGTTGAATATACATACTTTATATATAGTCTTTATGTTGCGTATACATACTTTATATATAGTCTTTATGTTGCATATACATACTTTATATATAGTCTTTATGTTGCGTATACATACTTTATATATAGTCTTTATGTTGCGTATACATACTTTATATATAGTCTTTATGTTGCGTATACATACTTTATATATAGTCTTTATGTTGTGTATACATACTTTATAGTCTTTATGTTGCGTATACATACTTTATATATAGTTTTTATGTTGCGTATACATACTTTATATATAGTCTTTATGTTGCGTATACATACTATATATATAGTCTTTGTTGCGTATACATACTTTATATATAGTCTTTATGTTGCGTATACATACTATATATATAGTCTTTGTTGCGTATACATACTTTATATATAGTCTTTATGTTGCGTATACATACTTTATATATAGTCTTTATGTTGTGTATACATACTATATATATAGTCTTTATGTTGCGTATACATACTTTATATATAGTCTTTATGTTGCGTATACATACTTTATATATAGTCTTTATGTTGCGAATACATACTATATATAGTCCTTATGTTGCGTATACATACTTTATATATAGTCTTTATGTTGCGTATACATACTTTATATATAGTCTTTATGTTGTGTATACATACTTTATATATAGTCTTTATGTTGTGTATACATACTTTATATATAGTCTTTATGTTGCGTATACATACTATATATATAGTCTTTGTTGCGTATACATACTTTATATATAGTATTTATGTTGCGTATACATACTTTATATATAGTCTTTATGTTGCGTATACATACTATATATATAGTCTTTATGTTGCGTATACATACTTTATATATAGTCTTTATGTTGCGTATACATACTTTATATATAGTCTTTATGTTGCGTATACATACTTTATATATAGTCTTTATGTTGCGTATACATACTTTATATATAGTCTTTATGTTGCGTATACATACTAAATATATAGTCTTTATATTGCGTATACATACTTTATATATAGTCTTTATGTTGCGTATACATACTTTATATATAGTCTTTATGTTGTGTATACATACTTTATATATAGTCTTTATGTTGTGTATACATACTTTATATATAGTCTTTATGTTGCATATACATACTTTATATATAGTCTTTATGTTGCGTATACATACTTTATATATAGTCTTTATGTTGCGTATACATACTATATATATAGTCTTTATGTTGCGTATACGTACTTTATATATAGTCTTTATGTTGCGTATACATACTTTATATATAGTCTTTATGTTGCGTATACATACTTTATATAGTCTTTATGTTGCGTATACATACTATATATATAGTCTTTATGTTGCGTATACATACTTTATATATAGTCTTTATGTTGCGTATGCATACTTTATATATAGTCTTTATGTTGCGTATACATACTTTATATAGTCTTTATGTTGCGTATACATACTTTATATATAGTCTTTATGTTGCGTATACATACTTTATATATAGTCTTTATGTTGCGTATACATACTTTATATATATTCTTTATGTTGCGTATATAATGCTTTATACATAGTCTTTATGTTGCGTATACATACTTTATATATAGTCTTTATGTTGCGTATACATACTTTTTATATAGTCTTTATGTTGTGTATACATACTTTATATATAGTCTTTATGTTGCGTATACATACTTTATATATAGTCTTTATGTTGCGTATACATACTTTATATATAGTCTTTATGTTGCGTATACATACTTTATATATAGTCTTTATGTTGCGTATACATACTTTATATATAGTCTTTATGTTGTGTATACATACTTTATTGTCTTTATGTTGCGTATACATACTTTATATATAGTCTTTATGTTGCGTATACATACTTTATATATAGTCTTTATGTTGCGTATACATACTTTATATATATTCTTTATGTTGCGTATATAATGCTTTATACATAGTCTTTATGTTGCGTATACATACTTTATATATAGTCTTTATGTTGCGTATACATACTTTATATATAGTCTTTATGTTGCGTATACATACTTTATATATAGTCTTTATGTTGTCTATACATACTTTATATATAGTCTTTATGTTGCGTATACATACTTTTTATATAGTCTTTATGTTGTGTATACATACTTTATATATAGTCTTTATGTTGCGTATACATACTTTATATATAGTCTTTATGTTGCGTATACATACTTTATATATAGTCTTTATGTTGTGTATACATACTTTATAGTCTTTATGTTGCGTATACATACTTTATATATAGTCTTTGTTGCATATACATACTTTATATATAGTCTTTATGTTGCGTATACATACTTTATATATAGTGTTTATAATGTGTATACATACTTTATATATAGTCTTTATGTTGCGTATACATACTTTATATATAGTCTTTATGTTGCGTATACATACTTTATATATAGTCTTTATGTTGCGTATACATACTTTATATATAGTCTTTATTTTGCGTATACATACTTTATATATAGTCTTTATGTTGTGTATACATACTTTATATATAGTCTTTATGTTGCATATGCATATACACATACATATATACAAAAGTATGTGGACACCACTTCAAATTAGTGGAATCGGCTATTTCAGCCACACTCGTTGCTGACAGGTGTAAAAAACCTTTCCAACAAATCATTTCTACCCTGCTAGAGCTGCCCCGGTCAACTGTAAGTGCTGTTATTGTGAAGTGGAAATGTCTAGGAGCAACAATGGCTTAGCCGTGAAGTGGTAGGCCACACAAGCACACAGAAAGGGACTGCTGAAGTGCGTAAAAATTATCTGTCCTCGGTTGCAACACTCACAACCGAGTCCCAAACTGGAAGCAACATCAGCACAAGAACTGTTCGTCCTCCCGAAATGGGTTTCCATGGCCGAGCAGCCGCACACAGGCCTAAGATCGCAATGCCAAGCATCGACTAGAGTGGTGTAAAGCTCACCGCCATTGGATTCTGGAGCAGTGGAAATGCGTTCTCTGGAGTGATGAATCACGCTTTACCATCTGGCAGTCTGACGGACTAATCTGGGTTTGGCAGATGCCAGGGGAAGGCCCTTTCCTGTTTCAGCATGACAATGCCCCTGTGCACAAACGAGGTCCATACAGAAATGCTTTGTCGAAATCTGTGTGGAAGAACTTGACTGGCCTGCACAGAGCCCTGACCTCAACCCCATCGAACACCTTTGGGATGAATTGGAATGCCGACTGCGAGCCAGGCCTAATCGCCCAACATCAGTCCCCGACCTCACCAATGCTCTTGTGGCTGAATGGAAGCAAGTCCCCCGCAGCAATGTTCCAACATCTAGTGGAAAGCCTTCCCAGAAGAGTGGAGGCTGTTATAGCAGCAAAGTGGGGACCAACTCCATATTAATGCCCGTGATTTTGGAATGAGATGTTCGGCGAGCAGGTGTCCACATACTTTTGGTCATGTAGTGTACATACAGTAGATTAACCTAGTATATGTGTTTCTCTCCCTCTCCCCCTTCCTGCCTCCCTCTCTGCAGAGTAAGGTGATGGTGTGTGAGCGCTGCAGGGAGGTGTTCAGTAAAGAAGGGGCTCTCCAGATGCCCCCTCCCAGCAGAGACAACAGGGACAGTGAGCTAGATGAGGAGAAGGACTCCCTGAAGGCCCAGCTCAGAGAACTGGAGCTAGAGCTGGCCCAGACCAAACTACAGCTGGTAGAGGCCAAGTGCAAGATCCAGGTCAGATACCATGGAGGATAAGAAGCACACACACACACACACACACACACACACACACACACACACACACACACACAGACTCGCGCACACACACAAACAGAAAAACACACACACAGACACACACACAGAAACACACACACACACACAGAAACACACACACACACACACAGACACACACACAGAAACACACACACACACAGAAACACACACACACACAGAAACACATGCACACACGCACGCAGAAACACATGCACACACACAGAAACACACACACACAGAAACACATGCACACACTAAAACACACATAAACACACCACACAGAAACACACACACACACAGAAACACACACACACACACACACAGACACACACACAGAAACACACAGAAACACACACACACAGAAACACACACACACACAGAAACACATACACACACGCACGCAGAAACACACACACACAGAAACACATACACACACACACACAGAAACACACACACACAGAAACATATGCACACACTAAAACACACATAAACACACCACACAGAAACACACACACACAGAAACACATGCACGCACACACTAAAACACAGGAACACACACAGGAACACACACTCTCACTCAGTGTAGTATAATAAAGTAGTACACATCATACACACCTTTTGTTCAAGCCATTGGATGTGCTGCTTTTATGTTCCATCCCTTTTTGACTATTCATGATTATCACGATGACTATTCATTATTATGGTGACTGACTGTTCATGTTGCTATGGTGACTAATATTCAGGATTTATTATGGTGACTGACTGTTCATGCTTGCTATGGTGACTATTATTGATTATTATGGTGGCTGACTTCATGTTGCTATGGTGTCTAATATTGATGATTATTATGGTGGCGGACTGTTTTACATTTACATTTTAGTCATTTAGCAGACGCTCTTATCCAGAGCGACTTACAGGAGCAATTAAGGTTAAGTGCCTTGCTCAAGGGCACATTTACGTCATTTAGCAGACGCTCTAGTCCAGAGCGACTCACAAATTGATGCATTCACCCTATAGCCAGTGGGATAACCACTTTACAATTATTATTATTTTTTTATTTTTTTATTTTTTTTTGTTCACGTTACTATGGTGACTAATATCGATGATTATTATGGTGGCTGACTGTTCATGTTGCTATGGTGTCTAATATTGATGATTATTATGGTGGCTGACTTCATGTTGCTATGGTGACTAATATTGATGTTTATTATGGTGGCTGACTGTTCATGTTGCTATGGTGACTAATATTGATGATTATTATGGTGGCTGACTGTTCATGTTGCTGTAGTGACAATATTATTGATGATTATTATGGTGGCTGACTGTTCATGTTGCTATGGTGACTAATATTCAGGATTTATTATGGTGACTGACTGTTCATGCTTGCTATGGTGACTAATATCAATGATTATTATGGTGGCTGACTGTTCATGTTGCTATGGTGACTATTATTGATTATTATTATGGTGGCTGACTGTTCATGTTGCTATGGTGACTGTTTATTCCTTTGTTCTGTCCATCCTCAGGAGTTGGAGCACCAGAGAGGCGTCCTGATGAACGAGATCCAAGCGGCCAAAAATTCATGGTTCAGCAAGACCCTGGGCTCCCTGAAGAGCTCCGGGGCCAGCACCTCCCAGTCCCAGCCCCCCTCCTCCCCCAAAGATGGGCCCCCGTAGGCCCCTACACAGACCACACTGGCTGGGGGGGGGATCTGGAGGTCCGGAGAAGAGTCTACAGTATGCACAGGAGAGCTTATGAACACTATCTGAATAACACCTGAGACAATGCACTATTCCCTTTCCAGGGGTGGAGGGGAGGGGGAAGGGGGGGGGGGGATAGCCACAGAACAAAGTCAGCTCTCTTACGCATCTTCCTCTCTCTCAAGCTCACCCACTTTTCCACTGGACCAGCCAACAACCCTTCTTCACTAGAGCTTTGATGAAAATGACGTGGCGTCATTTCGTGTTGTGTTGAACCAAGATGGAGAATGACTGGTATATCTAGTGTGGGTTGTCATTTACACTGTTGGCTGGGCTCCCTGTTGTCTTCAAAAAGCCAATCATTTTGTCTTTCAAGTGAGAGGTTAACGGAGTACTATAGGAACTCTGTGGGTCTTTATGATACCACAGTGGACATTCAATAAAACAGCTCTGCCCACTGTTATATATTGCTACTGCTGAGTGATCTAAAATATGTAGCCTATCAGCAGGATACGTGGCTAACGGATATTATCAGAAATCTAAGTGCTCAAGCAGTCTTGACCCTGACTTGTAAGGATCACACAACAGCTACCGGCAGTAGTTGACAGGCTAGGAATACGTATTTGCTGCTTACAAAAGACAACTACTACAACAAACATCTTCAGCATAACACATCTCTACGGCATTCTGAAAGGGCATACTGCATTCACAATTTAAAAACTAAATCTTGTTTTTCTTTATAGTAATATTACGTAAACTAGGTTGTCCTATAAATATGTATAACTAATTATTGATCATTTTTAATCTTGTACAGTTCTAAAACAAATAAGAAAGAAGAAGTGCTCTGATTTTTTTTTTACCGTTTGGAATTTGAATGTCATTTCAGTGTGGACGTAATTAAGCACAGTGTGAAAGGTCTGGATCAAGTTCAAATGTCGGGAGAACCAAAGTGACATTCCAACTCGACTTTCATTCCTGCTTCTATAACACCATAGCCTGGTTAAACCAGACTGAACACTGGGCTCACCATTGTTATAAAGGTGCAGCGCAGTCTTCAATATGGTTTAACCAGGCTAATAACGCAAAGTATACATAAAGCCTATCCACCAGGTTAGTACCTCCTGAGCTACTTATTCCACTGGACTGAGGTCAAATTCAAACTTGAAGTCGTTGTGTGTCACTCAAGTCTTTGCACAGATCTTTCCATTGATCAGAGCGAAGCATGATCCAATCCTAGATTTGTCTGATATCTGAAAGACAGGAGGTAAACTAACTCTAATGGAATGATAAAGGTTTATGAAGGGCTCCTCCATCTCTCTTCTATTGTCCGCAGTAATTGGAGTACTCCCTCTATGCTACTTGGCTGCTTTAACTGTCTCCATTTAACTCAGCCCAACGGCTACTTTACAAAGCCTGACACTCACCTAACCATAACTTGTGAAGTGCGGTAGTTGAGTATAGAACAGACATGGCTCCCAATAGCATATGAAATGTCATGATGAACCAATGAAATGGTACAATAGTAGGTCATTCTTATGACAAAGCACCAAGACCATGATGAGGTGTGCAAAAAGTAGTTGAACATTCCAAAATGTCTATCCAAGCCAAGGTGCCCATGGGGGTTAGCATAGGATGGAAAGACTCAATGGCCATGCAGTATAACATATGTTGGAAAGACTCTCAATAGCAATGGCCATGGGGATTAACATACAATGGAAATACTTTTAATAGCAGCCCACTCATTACACTCGTTTTCTAGAGCCATATAAATGCATGTTTGTGCTGCAGATAGCTCCAACACACCTGCCAAGAACCACCGCTTTGGCGTCTCTATTAGAAGCACCGTAGCGTTGGATTCACCCTTCGGACAAAGGCCGAGACCGTATGTGTGTCCTGCACTGACTGGTTCCAGTTGAAATGGTTTCTTCACATGGCTGCCTTCCTAAGCAGTGACTTGTTGTTGTCTAAGGCCCAGAACTATGTAAATGAAATAATCAGAACAAAGCCATCTCGATATATTATACTCTCAAAAGATTGTCACCTGTGCTATGGCATTCCTGTCCGCCATTTTAAGAGCAGGATGCGAGTAGGCAGAGACACTACAGATGGATCCGGGGGTCACGTCCCAATTTGTCTGAACCTGCTTCCTTTCCTTGTCTCCTTTCCTTTGTGACCACTGATTTGAAAAACCGCAACAGTTGAAAGTAATATGATGGATGTCTGTCCAGGTGTTTCACCTGTCAGTGATTACAATGTAAAGGTAAAGAAATAAGGCAGTCAGTTAAGAATATTAGGACACAGCCATGTTTTTAGGTGTGTTATATGGACAGTCAGTCAGTCAGTATGTCTTTCATATGTGTCATGCTGTGTGCGCTTCAGCCAGGGTCATACCAAGTTTTACAAGGTTCAAGGCCTCTGTGTATGTTGGCTATGTGCACTAACATTGCGTCAATATTTTAAACACTATTTTAAATGTTAATTTGTACTCTAAGTTATTCAGAGAACAAACCTACTTTCTTTTGTTCCTAATTTTCTGTTGCTGAGAAGACAGCGGCCAAATTATAATCCAACTACAACGATGCAAAAAACTTCAGATTCACAATATTGTACAGTATGCTATACTTCAACAGTTGTTCTGCTTTAGTTTCCAACATGGGGGAGTTGTCCTTCCATGTTCCTCGTCATTCCCATGTGAATCTGTGACATGCTTTAACTCTAATGGTATTTTCTGTACAGTAATCGTCTGACGTACATCAATAAAATTCCGTTCTCTGTCCACCGATTTACTGTACTTTCAATGTTTATTTTATTTTCATTAAATCAAATGAAATGTATGTGTGAAGCGAGATTCTCATATTGGCAGTTTGTTATAAAAACGGATATAACTCTTCCAGGATAATATTGGACTTTTAAATAAACGTTTTATTCCTTTATGTCATCACACAGCAACTACCATCTTGAATGGATTCTGTGTTAAATATTTCTGTAGAATACAAGACAATCAAATCCAATTGATTTAGATTATTGTGATATGATCAAACATACAAAATGTATAGACCTGTACACCTCCAATACATTCCCCTCTTATGACCATTAAATCAATCTTATGTTGTCTAAAATATGTCACCTTCAGAGGTAGGCTACAATTATTTGAAGGAATGAAAAACGTGAAACAGAAACTACAAAACAAACACAATTGTTAACTACACCCACCCCCCCAACCCCCAAATAAAGCATCTGTAAGCAATAATTATTATAAGTAAAATATCCATACTATATACATAATTTCATAGGTGTAAATGAATGGTTTATACTTGTGTTAACATGTCAGCAGTATAATGCAAGGCTTACTGTTTGGCAATGACAGAGTTAGTGAGAATACACGATAGCAGGTGAAGGTTGGCCCTTGAAATAGAAATGGACTGTATTTTAATGACACTCATTTGATCAGTTATTTGAATTCCATTGAGAAAAGCCCTTAGCCAATGAAAACGAGGGTTCGCCTCGCAGGTATTTACCTGCCACTGACAATGATTGTTGCAGAAAGGCTGTGCTTCGCCTCATACCTCACCTCGTCCAATAGTTTCTTTACAGGTTTTGCCATTACTGGGTTGGAATCCCCTGTACACGAAGAGGTAGAGTGGTAGCTCCAGTGAGATTGTAGAGATAAGGTGAATATGATGTGCGTTCCTTCAGCAGATGGGTAACTACCCAAGAATGAGGTTTTACAACCACTGTTTGGAAAATAATTGAATGAGGGGAAAATTGGTTTGAGCCACAAACAAGCTTCTCTGGTCAGCCATATACATTTCCAAAGGAATAAATGTGCAGTTTGACTGAAATAGTAAAAGATTAGCTTGCTTTTTGTTGCGATCTATATAGATTAATCAAATGTATACAGTGCAAATATTAGAACATCATTACAATTATAGCAAAATAAACATTACAATACACCTTGACTACATTCATAAGCTCACAAATACAATATCGTTACTACCTGAATGAGAGGATTATGTGTATGCATTCACATATTTGCATATGAAGTCCGTAGATTCCAACATTGTATTGTAGAAAGGTGCAGAGAATACAAAATATGTGGCCTTTGAAGTAAAACAGTTCAGAGAGGCCTTGTCCCGTTCAGAGAGGCCTTGTCTTGAAAAGCAATGGAAATTAAGAGAAATGAAAGCAACTTGGCAACAAAGTTTAGACCAAAGTTAAAAGTTCATTTGCAAATTCGTTATGAGTATCCGAACTCGTTACGCACAGAGAGGAGGAACAATAAATATCAAGGGAAGTATAGTAGTCGTTTGTCCTGAATCTAAACAGATACAGATATGACGAGATTTGACCAAAGGTTCTCCCTCTGATCCTTCCTCCTCCATGTTGTCATCTTCTACCATCTCACCTGACTCTCACAATGGCGTCGGCCATCTTAGGACAACAGTAGGAGCTCCTAGGTGAGAAGCTCCTACTGTTTGGTACATGCCACTCACTCACTGACACTGTGCTGTTTTGCTGCCAGACTCCACCCCCGTGGAGAATCCGTTGCCGAGGCTTTTGGGGCTCGGGGGAGTGGTCAGGACCGGGAAGGACGGCTCCCGCTTAGTGGTGGCGGAGTCCACAGAGGAGCAGCTCTTCTGGGGCACCATAGGCCGTACCACTGCGGTCTTAGGGATGACCGACATCTGTCTCTGTCCATCAACTCCCCTTAGCGGGGGCCTGGTGGGTGGGCAGGAGGGGGAAGGAGCTCCAGCCAGTAGAGGAGGGGTGGTGGTGGAGGGTCTGGGGCAGCGTGGTGGGAGGGGCGGGGGGCACTGGTCCTCCTCCTGGGTCTGGGCAGTGTCCGTTCCCTGGCAGGCCTGGCCCTCCTGGGAGTCCTGGGGAGGGTCCTGGTCTTGGGGAGGGTCCTGCTGCATGCTGCTCTGCCTGGAGGTGGTCTTGTCGGAGCCGGGCATATCGCAGCTGTCTGTCCGCCGCCGGGAGCCCTCGTGCATACGGCTGGTGGCCACCACAGCCTTCATGATAGCCTGCAGTCAGAGAAACATGGCACACCGCTGTCAGTCACCAAGCCTGCCACGAGAGCCTCAGAGACAAGGCATACAGCTGTGCTTCAGCCAGAATCTGAATTTCAATGTAACAATAGTGGTGATTAGGTTCATACATTCCAATCAAGACGATGGTTGGGCCACAAGCTTACATTTCCCAAGAGGATCAGGACAGCATACAATCATTAGAACTGCAATGTTTGTTGATGTCTATTGTCATCAAAAGTGCATTACTCTGAGTGAGGGCTCAATTCAATCCATGTCGCTGAAGTTCAGAGTTATAGCACAATTGAAATTTAAAGGCAATGTTCGCTGAGACTGCGTTCAGTCGACTTAATCAGAAATTAACTTTCAATAATAATTTGGGGCGTGCTTATATTTGTCCTGTTACACACAAGTGTGTAATGGAAATGTGTTTCTTGCATTTCCCAACTCCCCCTGAGTTACCCACAGAGAGTGGCAGGTCACAGCCAGGCTCACCATTGTCCAGTGCCCCTTGAGCAATTGGGGTTAAGTGCCTTGCTCAAGGGCACAGCGACATATGTGTCACCTTGTCGGCTCCTTTCAGTTTCTGGCCCAATGCTCTAACCTCGAGGCTACCTGCCGCCCTATAGCACTGAACTTCAGCGATACGGATTGAATCGAGCCCTACATTTCTTTTGAAAAAAGTTTTTCTTTCAAATTATTGGAACAGCTATGAGATCTACTTTTGCTGCTAATTTATACATTGGTCAATTTTTTATTATTCAAAAATAAAGCACTCATCTGCCCCCATACTGGGCCCCAACATCAAGCCCATCGCTCACCTTGAGTTTGCGCCGGGCGTTGAACTCTTGTAGCTTCCTCTGAGTCGAGTCCATGTGGGAGAAGCGGGCAGCCTTGCCCAGTACCCAGGGGTGCTCCAGGGCCTCCTTCACTGTCAGCCTCTTGTGGGGGTCCTGCACTATCAGCTTACTGACCTGAGGGGACAGCCAACGGGAGAGAGGTTGTTTTTGACTTAGTTGACCTTGTACAGTGGCAGCAATGGAATAGTCCCAAAAGTGCAAAACTAAAACCCCAAACTAAATCCAGCACAACTCGAATATTATAAGTATTTTACATGTATTTGACCCAGGCCTGATAAAGACGGTAGTTGTGTAAAGAAAGAAAATGTATTAACGGTGCTGAAGCAAAGTTGATTGAATTCGGCCCAGAGCAAGTGATTCACAGAAGAAAAGTCAGGCTTATTTTTTATTGGGAGTTTTATGCTTGTTTGGCAGGAGGTTATACAACATATGCCAAGCAGTAATGGCTTTTTGACCAACTGGCCATGAAGCATGAGAGAAATTGTATGAAAGGTTACATATCCATTTTACTAAATTTTACAACCTAACAAATGTTACAGTACTGTTCTACATCTTATATTTGTCATATACGGGTCATTCTTGAATTACTATGGCATTTGGGCATATACATTTTTCTATATATTTTTCGGGTACATCATCTCATTCTACATCAACTAGTATGGTAGGGTATTTGTAGTGGTAACTTAATGACTTTCAATTATTTTAACCATTATAACATTGTGCCACCAGTAGTAATGATTTTCTGAAATGGAGGCCACAAATGCTCAAATCTAAGGTCATCAACCCTTTCAAAATAATTTACTAAAGTGATATGATTAATCATTTTGCTGAATGTTATTTCCCTTCATTTAAATGTACTAACACCAAGTGACACTGGATTTAGACACACCAAATTATCAATGGAATGTTCACATTTATGACATAATTTTCTTTAATATAGACTCCTCCCCAATAACAGTTTTCCACTGGAGAGTATGCTCAAGATCCTTGTATATCTTTTTTAATCAGTGATTTTCAACATAAGAAACAAGCAATTGATACAGGAAAGTTACTTCTACATACTAGGTTCACCGGTATTAACCAAGGTTCTCATCTCTCGATGGGCACATGTAGCCTACATCATGGAGGGTGTAGGACACATGCACTGCCTGAAATGAGCACTTTGGATCACATTTTTATTATTTGGGGGGTGCTTTTAATTTTCCTGTTACACACAAGTGTGTTTATTGCATACCCCAACTCCCCCTGAGACTTCCGCAGTGAGTGTACAGCGACCCTGGAGCAATTAGGGTTAAGACCTTTGCTCAAGGGTACAGAAAGCTTCGGTATTGAACCAACGACCGTTCAGTTACTGGCCCAATGCTCTACCCTCGAGGCTACCTGCCGCCCTGTAAGGACACACCTAAAATATTTCCACCCCTCCCATCTGAGCGCAAGCGATCTGATATAAGACAGGTAAAATCCTTGTGCAACAACGTGCTGGCTGTAACGCCTCGATCACACCGACAGCGTCATTGCGCAAAATGGGACGCAGCATCATCTGGATATGTGTGCAACAAAAGTTCAACATTCACCTTCTGCTACCATTTCTGTCAAGCCGTCTACGCATATAGTTTGATGCATACATTTAATGAATCCAACGTATGCACCACACAGAACGCACTGCAACTGCCTCTGTAACGCAATGCTGCAAGGCAAACGCAGCGTTATGTTGTGTGATCGAGGCATAGGTCGAAATTGCCAACAAACGTGCGTTTGACACTAGCGCCTCCTTAACGCCAGTTGAAAATAGAGCCCCATGTATTAAAAGGTCTTGTAATCAATAACAAATAACAGCCCTTGTACCCACATTTACATAATTCAACCGTTAGCAAAGAAAGCAATAATGTCTATTAGCTGTTCATAAGCAGACCTTCAAATACAGTATAAGCGTTTTTCATAATAAAAGCCTCTGTTTGAAGTAAACGGTGGAACCTACCAAGTCCTTAGCGTTGAGGGAGACCTCGTCCCACCAGGGGGAGACAAACTCATAGTCGCAGTTGAGGATGCGGCTGTACATGTACTGGTCTCCCCTCGGATCGAAGAATGGTTCGAACCCACACAGCCTGAGGGCAGAGGCAACATTTCCCTTTAATTATTTGTTTGTTTCATCACTCTCACTTGTTTTAAAGACAGATACGGGACCTCTGTTATATACTTGAAACAGCATATTACATCCAGAATCCATAGGAGAAAGGGAAAGATCTAAGATTAGATTCGCTGCAATACTGCGATGAGAGGACTTCAATTTGTCATCAGATTGACAGCTACCCACACTGAGTACACGCAGATCTTGGGACAGATTTTAAAGTTGTTGTTTTTTACTCACAAGATGTACAGGATCACTCCCACAGACCACATGTCCACTTCAGGACCATAGGCATTGCCTCTGAGGATCTCTGGAGCTGCAGGGCGAGACGGACGGCGGGAGGGAGAGATGGAGGGATGGAGAGGGAGAGAGTGAGAGCCAGCTGTCATCTCCCACACAGGCACAGGACAGTTCATTTTGACTCATATTAGTCCCTCATAAACACAGTATGAACTATGAATGTTATTTCCTTGAAAGCTGCCCGCTGTAGCCTCCATTAAACCGTGCGGCCCCGGGGGCTGGCCTAGTTGTAGTGCTGCAGCCCACGGACCACATATGCCCCTGGAGGCAGCTGTTCGTTTCCCCATTACCCCACTAACTTTCTGTGCTTTATTCCTCTCGTCCATCTCATATTACATTTTATATATTTCAATAATAAATAATAATAGTGCGCCCCAACAATTTGTTGTGTTTGAGGATGATTCATTTGACTGATATCAATCTCACAATGTATGTATCTATGTAATATATCTCAATATTTCCTAGCCAATCCCGGGTTGCCCCTTTAAAGTCACACGCTGTGACCTCTATTTCCCTTCATTAGTGTGACCTTGCAATTTGTTTTGTTATGGTTCAATGGGAAGCACCAATCAATAAACACTGCGTTAGTGTCACAACACACAAGACGACCCTGATCCTACAATCATATTCACATTGGGATATATCTGTCAATTTATAACTCACCGCAGTATCCAGGCGTGCCACACACCGTCTTCATGGCCACTTGCTCATCTATTATCTTTGAGAGGCCAAAGTCAGCTGTGAAGATCAGATAATGGTTTAGTGTTATTATTATACATTTGAATGGTTTAGTGTTAGTGGACAAAACATTAGGAACACCTTCCTAATATTGAGTTGCTTCCCCTTTTGCCCTCAGAACAGACTCAATTCGTCGGGGCATGGACTCTACAAGGTGTTGAATGTGCTCCACAGGGATGCTGGCCCATGTTGACTCCAATGCTTCCCACAGTTGTTTCAAGTTGGCTGGATGTCCTTTGGTGCTAGACCATTCTTGATAAAAATTGGATTTTTTCAGCATGAAAAACCCAAAAGCGTTGCAGTTCTTGACACACTCAAAGTGGTGCGCCTGGCACCTACTACCATACCCCATTCAAAGACACTTAAATATTTTGTCTTGCCAATTCACCTTCTTAATGGCACACATACAAAATACATGTCTCAATTGTCTCAAGGCTTAAAAATGCTTCTTTAACCTGTCTCCTCCCATTAATCTACACTGATTGAAGTGGATTTAACAAGTGACATCAATAAGGGATCATATCTTTCACCTGGATTCACCTGGTCAGTCTATGTCATGGAAAGAGTTCCTAATGATTTGTACACTCAGTGTACATTTATTTATTTTTTTTATTTATTAGGGAGATAGGAGTCTCCAGCTTCAGAGATTTTTGCAATTCGTTCCAGTCATTGGCAGCAGAGAACTGGAAGGAATGGCGGCCAAAAGAGGTGTTGGCTTTGGGAATGACCAGTGAGATATACCTGCTGGAGCGCAGACTACGGGTGGGTGCTGCTATGGTGACCAATGAGCTAAGATAAGGCGGGGATTTGCCTAGCAGTGATTTATAGATGGCCTGGAGCCAGTGGGTTTGACGACGAACATGTAGTGAGGACCAGCCAACAAGAGCGTACAGGTCACAGTGGTGGGTAGTGTATGGGGCTTTGGAGACAAAACGGATGGCACTGTGATAGACTACATCCAATTTGATGAGTAGAGTGTTGGAGGCTATTTTGTAAATGACATCGCCGAAGTCAAGGATCGGTAGGATAGTCAGTTTTACGAGGGCATGTTTGGCAGCATGAGTGAAGGAGGCTTTGTTGCGAAATAGGAAGCCGATTCTAGATTTAACTTTGGATTGGAGATTCTTAATGTGAGTCTGGAAGGAGAGTTTACAGTCTAACCAGACACCTAGGTATTTGTAGTTGTCCACATACTCTAGGTCAGACCCGTCGAGAGTGGTGATTCTAGTAGGGTGGGCAGGTGCCAGCAGCGTTCGATTGAAGAGCATGCATTTAGTTTTACTAGTGTTTAAGAGCAGTTGGAGGTTACTGAAGGAGTGTTGTATGGCATTGAAGCTCGTTTGGAGGTTTGTTAACACAGTGTCCAATGAAGGGCCAGATGTATACAAAATGGTGTCGTCTGCGTAGAGGTGGATCTGAGAGTCACCAGCAGCAAGAGCGACATCATTGATATACACGGAGAAAAGAGTCGGCCCAAGAATTGAACCCTGTGGCACCTCCATAGAGACTGCCATAGGTCCAGACAACAGGCCCTCCGATTTGACACATTGAACTCTATCTGAGAAGTAGTTGGTGAACCAGGCGAGGCAGTCATTTGAGAAACCAAGGCTATTTAGTCTGCCAATAAGAATGCGGTGGTTGACAGAGTCGAAAGCCTTGGCCAGGTCGATGAAGACGGCTGCACAGTACTGTCTATTATCGATTGCGGTTATAATATCGTTTAGGACCTTGAGCGTGGCTGAAGTGCACCCATGACCAGCTCGGAAACCGGATTGCATAGCGGAGAAGGTACGGTGGGATTCAAAATGGTCGGTGATCTGTTTGTTAACTTGGCTTTCAAATACTTTCGAAAGGCAGGGCAGGATGGATATAGGTCTGTAACAGTTTGGATCTAGAGTGTCACCCCCTTTGAAGAGGGGGATGACCGCGGCAGCTTTCCAATCTCTGGGGATCTCAGACGTTACGAAAGAGAGGTTGAACAGGCTAGTAATAGGGGTTGCGACAATTTCGGCGGCTAGTTTTAGAAAGAAAGGGTCCAGATTGTCTAGCCCAGCTGATTTGTAGGGGTCCAGATTTTGCAGCTCTTTCAGAACATCAGCTGTCTGAATTTGTGTGAAGGAGAAGCGGGGGGGGGGGGCATGGGCAAGTTGCAGCGGAGGGTGCAGAGTTGGTGGCCGGGGTAGTGGTAGCCAGGTGGAAAGCATGGCCAGCCGTAGCAAAATGCTTGTTGAAATTCTCGATTATTGTAGATTTATCGGTGGTGATAGTGTTTCCTAGCCTCAGTGCAGTGGGCAGCTGGGAGGAAGTGCTCTTATTCTCCATGGACTTTACAGTGTCCCAAAACTTTTTGGAGTTATGAGACAAGCATGGATGAGACAAGCATTGGCCTTATCATCTTTAATTGTTTTATCATTTATGTTACATGTTCTGTGTGATACAGAGGGATAGTTAATTTAGTGACCAAACCATTACTTAGGAGTAATGGAACGGACATCAATAACACGAGGTACAGTAGTAAACAAAGTAGCTCATGCTATATCAAACGTCCAGATCCCCGACTCCTGCCAGTAATGAATTCATCTTGGAATCCAGAATCAAATTCGAGATTTGGTTTTGGGGGAAGCGTTGAGACTTTTCGCCTAGTGCGAGTGGCGAAGTCAACACCCCCTCCTCTGAAATCTTCTTGGCAATCTTTGGGCCAAATTAACCCCTCCCCTTCCGAAATGTGAAAGATGCCACCATGCGAAATTGCGATTAGTCCAAATAATCAGTAATGCAAAAAACTGCGCACCAGAAGAATGCCTCATACAGTATACCTAATGTCCCAACAGACGTAACTTCAGTTATGGATGGGGGAGAGACTAGTAATGAATGAATACCAAGACACATCTTTCCCCATCTGTAATATGAGAATAATTAAATAAATACAAATTTGGAAGTTTCATATGTGACATTCCCAAAATGCCAACAGTGGCACTGTCATCAGTGCCAACACATATTTATCTAGGAGACAGTCAGTTGATCTAGGAAGGTTTCAGTTTATCTAGGAGACAGTCAGTTTATCTAGGAGACAGTCAGTTTATCTAGGAGAGTCAGTTTATCTAGGAGACAGTCAGTTTGTCTAGGAGACAGTCAGTTCATTTAGGAGACAGTCAGTTTATCTAGGAGACAGTCAGTTGATCTTGGAGACAGTCAGTTGATCTAGGAAGGTGTCAGGTGTGTAACAGCCTACAGGTACATGTAGTTACCTATCTTAAGCGGGGCGTCCAAGGAGAGGTCAGCGTACAGAAGGTTTTCTGGTTTCAGGTCACGGTGCACCACCCCATTCTCATGTAAATACTGTGACACAAACACAAGAGAACAAAACAGTTGCAACATTAGTTGAAAGCACTGACTGTAAGTTGCAAGTCAGCGTGACATAACTAGTAGATACTGTAGTTTGGAATGACGTTCTAAAATGCCACAACAACAATTAGAAGAAACTGTCTCTTTTTTTTACCATGAGCATTTCGTTTTCAGTTTTTCAAAATGGGGTAAACCTTTTCAGTCATGTAATACAATATATGGGATCATAAGAGGCCACCTTCTCTGGCCAGCAGAGCTCAGGTAACAGGGATACTGTTAAACTGAGTCAAGCCTCTACCGAATGGAAATCAATAGGGTTGTAATCACCTGACAGAACTATGATTCAATACTGGATTGATACTCAAGGATACAACATGATTTACCTCTGAATGAGTCACGATGCAAAACTACTTTGGTTGGAGCAAAGCCTGCACCCACACCGTTCCTTGGCAGATTAGATTGGACACCCTTGCTGTACATGCTATCAAAATGTATTGCTACAGCCCTAGTAATACCAGGTCATCCCATGTATTGTTATAGCCCTAGTTATACCAGGTCATCCCATGTATTGTTATAGCCCTAGTTATACCAGGTCATCCCATGTATTGTTATAGCCCTAGTTATACCAGGTCATCCCATGTATTGTTATAGCCCTAGTTATACCAGGTCATCCCACGTATTGTTATAGCCCTAGTTATACCAGGTCATCCCATGTATTGTTATAGCCCTAGTTATACCAGGTCATCCCATGTATTGTTATAGCCCTAGTAATACCAGGTCATCCCATGTATTGTTATAGCCCTAGTTATACCAGGTCATCCCACGTATTGTTATAGCCCTAGTAATCAAGGGCACCCCAACCCAGGAGCTGTCACAGTTATGCAGCTGGAAGCGAGTTCTGCCACCTTTAAATAGAGTTTAAGTGGTAGTTGAGTACAAAAAAAGCTCAGTGTCCTAAGAGAGACAGTGCCTTTTTAACTACGCACACTTCTACCAAGAGAACAAGTCCCTTTTAGTTCAAGTCAACGATAACGTGTGTGGACTAGATGACAGATCTGTTCAGGCATTGAAACTTGAAGAACAGAGAGCATGTCAAACGGAGGCAGCGATGGTAGCTTGAGGAGAGAATTGCTGTGGGACCTGAGGGATTCAGACCAATCAGGGCATCACTTGGCAGGATGAATTGAAACTGTAAATGAGCAACACCTGATCTAAAATAGACTCCACAGATAGGACCCACTGCTGCAGCAGCTCAGAGACTGCTAGACTGCTTTTACCATCCTCCCTGTCACTCAAGAGTCAAGAGAGTTCCAACTATAACTACCGGATTGTGTTGTCGTTTTCTAACTATACCATGAAAGCGTAAGAGTAAATTGAAAGGAAACATTGCCCCTACAAAAAAATGAAATTATGGAACTATGAATAGAATGTGTTAATATACGTTCTTGGCCTGATAATGGCCTTTTGGATTTCTGTTGGATTATTGACTTTAAATGTTTTTCTATTGGATTACACATTTCCTTGGACTTGCACTCAAAGAATCAACCAGAGGTTCAGGTAGGAATAAGGTTTTCAGTTATTAAAATGTTGCTCTAAGGACTGTTGATTGTTGAACCCCTATGTTCTTCCCTATCAATACACCAGTATTGCACTGATCAAGTTCCCCAATCTTTTATTTCTGGCAAGTTTGTAGTTTATGCAAGTTTGGTAATATGTCTGTGTTTGTTTCCTCGCATGTTCTGGGTTTTTGGTGGAGTGATCCGATCATGATGGAGCTGGCTTAGCTCGGCCACAGTGCTGGGCAGTGAACTGGCCTGGTCAGGCTACTAATATCCTCATTACATGGTTACAGAACACTCATTAGGACAGTAAAATGATCTCTGTACATTACAGCCAATGCTCCCATGTGGTTTATTGGCAACAGCTGTTCGACCAGACCGGGTCTTCAAAGTGGTGTAAAGTACTTAAGTAGGGTGGGGGGGGGGGGGGCGGTTGTATCTGTACTTTACTTTACTACTTACACTACCGTTCAAAAATTTGGGGTCACTTAGAAATGTCCTTGTTTTCGAAAGAAAAGCAATTTTTTTGTCCATTAAAATAACATAAAATAGACATTGTTAATGTTGTAAATGGCTATTGTAGCTGGAAACAGCTGATTTTTAATGGAATATCAACATAGGCATATAGGTACAGAGGACCATTATCAGCAACCATCAGTCCTGTGTTCCAATGGCACGTTGTGTTTGCTAATCCAAGTTTATCATTTTAAAAGGCTAATTGATAATTAGAAAACCCTTTTGCAATTATGTTAGCACAGCTGAAAACTGTTGTGCTGATTAAAGAAACAATAAAACTGTCCTTCTTGAGACTAGTTGAGTATCTGGAGCATCAGCAATTGTAGGTTCGATTACAGGCTCAAAATGGCCAGAAACAAATAACTTTCTTCTGAAACTCGTAAGTCTATTCTTGTTCTGAGAAACTGAAGATCTCGTACAACGTTGTGTACTACTCCCTTCACAGCGCAAACTGGCTCTAACCAGAATAGAAAGAGGAGTGGGAGGCCGCGGTGCACACCTGAGCAAGAGGACAAATACATTAGTGTGTAGTTTGAGAAACAGACGCCTCACATGTCCTCAACTGGCAGCTTCATTAAATAGTACCTGCAAAACACCAGTCTCAACGTCAACAGTGAAGAGGCGACTCCGGAATGCTGACCATCTAGGCAGAGTTGCAAAGAAAAAGTCCAGTGTCTGTGTTCTTTTGCCCATCTTTTTATTGGCCAGTCTGAGATATGGCTTTTTCTTTGCAACTGCCTAGGTCAGCAATCCCGGAGTCACCTCTTCACTGTTGACATTGAGACTGGTGTTTTACGGGTACTATTTAATGAAGCTGCCAGTTGAGGACCTGTGAAGGACAAAACACCACACTTGTAATTTTAGTCCCGTCCGAATATGCCATGGCAGTAATTTGTACATGGCAGGAGAGTAACAATTCCAGCCAGAATAACCTACTGTTTTTTTGGCAACCTCCAAGCACAAAACACCACATCTGTAATGTTAGTCCCGTCTGAATCTGCCATGGTAGTAATTTGTACATGGCAGGAGAGTAACAATTCCAGCCAGAATAACCTACTGTTTTTTGGCAACCTCCAAGGTCCTCTGATAATACTAGTCCCGTGCGAATCGACATCCCTAGGTTTTGAGAGAAATGTCTGGGTTTGACAGGTGTTGCTCACGGTTTGAGCAAGAAAACAATAACTGATTCGATAAATTGGATAAATTGAACGAAGTGTTGCGCAAAGCCTATATATGAACGGCCTACATGTATCAACTTTCACAGTGAATGCTTTTGTTCATATGTTTTGTGCGTATTAATTGAATATTGCCAAATGCGTCAGTAAAAAATATTGCGCCTATTTAATGTAATCCTTGCTGTTAATAGCTCGCAAAGCAGCATACAACTGACCTAAACGTTTGGAAAGGATACATTCACTTTCGCATCCATAGCCTTAAAACCCATCTCAAGTGCAAGTGCACTGTTTAGCTCAGATCTGAAGGCTGGGGGCATTTAGGACGTCTACTGCGGATCGCTAAAATATCCTAATGATTATGATCACACTTCCTCAATTCAAATATTATGGCGACACTATACCAAAGATGGTTTGGTATGGTTTAGAAACTTGGGAACCGAGCTCAAGTTATCAGTGTAGCCCTGTTATCGCCTGGACTTGTTGAAATATATTCACACCTAGAAAAAAACATCAAGGCTTTCCTCATAACTGTCAATTTATTTGAAAAAAAATAAAGATTTACAAGGGGGCAATTTGGAAAAAACTAATCCCGTCCGAATCTTCTGACATTCTGGGGTAATAATCACATAACCAATGTTCTCTAGTAATACTAGTCCCGTGCGAATAGGTCTTTGCCTAATTGTGTAAATTGAGGTGAGCGCAAACCCCAACTTAATTAGGTATATAATCAGTAGCCAAACTGTTAAATGTGCCTGGCTTTATAACTCATCCATATTTATCTACAGAAATAAGACAGATCCTGCTTCTGTTTCCTGTTTGAGTGTTTGTTTAATAGCCTACTCATGCAAAGGCAAAATGTCGGATAAAGCAATTTCACAGATTCTGCTGTTTTTAATCTTTGCTATGCTGTAATAAAGGCTTTACAATTTTTTTGTCGTTAGAACAGACTGGTGTTACTTATAATTGATTTAGTGTTTTTTTACACTGTTCCAAACAGGCAGAAAAATTATATTGTAATCTTATGGCATCTGTTTGTCACACATAATATGCATGCAGCTCTTGCTCCTATACCCTCCTTTTTCTAGATCTCCTTCTTATTGTTATTATTACAACTATTATTATGATCATCATTATAATAATAAGTAATGTCGTTATCATTAGTAGGCTTTGTATAGTAGCCTTGTATAACCACCATTGAGCTGTAGGCCTAAGAGTGCATCCCGTTTATTCTTAGTCTTAATACCGTAACTTACTTAGGCCTATATTTCAATATACTGTATAGGCTACTGTATCAATCAATCAATCAATCATCCATTCATTCATGCCATCACACAACATAGGAGACATTCATGCTTTGAACTGCAATCAAGCATTTTCCTTTTTAAATTAAAGAACAAAGGGAGCTTGAATAATTCGCCTAAACAATAAATAAACCGCAATTCACAAAAGCATGCAACTGTTTTTAGTCTGCTGTAATAAAGGCTTTATATATTATATATTTTTCGTTAGAACAGACTCTCTGGTACACTTATTTATTTAGTGTTGTTTACACTGTTCCAAATGGTCAGAATGTCACGATCGTTATGGGAAGAAGCGGACCAAGGCGCAGCGTGAGAAGCGTACATCTTTATTACTTGTACACACAACGAACCAAAACAATAAACGATACGTGAAGTCCTAGGTTAAATACACAAACCTTCCGGAACAAGATCCCACAAAACAAAAGTGCCAACAGGCTGCCTAAGTATGGTTCCCAATCAGAGACAACAAGCAACAGCTGCCTCTGATTGGGAACCACCCTGGCCAACATAGAAATATGTGAACTAGAACACCCATAGACAACTAAACATAACAAGTCCACACCCTGGCTCAACATTTAAGAGTCCCCAGAGCCAGGGCTTGACACAGAAAAAATAATAATATTGCAATCTAACAGCAACTGTTTGGCACACATAATACTCACACAATGCTTGCTCCTATACCCTCCTTTTTATTGATCTCCAGTAGTTTACAAAGTCAAATGTCTTCCACAGACCTGACTTCCCCTTTCCCTCCTGAGCAACCAGTAAACATTTGCCCGTTTCAAGTTTCTTTTTCATGTCCTCCGCATCCATTTTGCTGTCGACATTACTGTGTTCGGAGTTTAACCAATGTATTGATGTGATCATGATAGGATATAGGTCAGGCCCAATTGGTCACATGCATGCAATGTTTCACGTAAAGAGAGCAAGGGTTGAGGGAATATGGAATGTTTTTCCTAAACAAATTAGGGATTTCGGTAACAGAACTTTTCAGTCAGAAACAAGTATGAAACTAAATGGCTGAAATTATGTTGCAGCTTCAGCACGGACAGTGCAATAAACACTTGCTGTGCTGTGGTGCCTTTTCACTGCAGTAAGGAGGAGAGAGACAACATGTGCCAGTCACACAGGCACTCGCTGTCATATTTTTTAACACAATGAGTCATTTGTGTGTCTTAATTATTTAATCAAACAGTGTGCTTAAAGCATCAGACAAGCTCAGTGCATATGTAGTTGGTTTTATTCAAACACATAGGGTGTGTCTGTCTATATATGGAAAAGATCAGTTTAAACATTTCGACCAATCGATTGGTCGAAAGAACAGGATGACTCACGGTCGACCAAGATCTGTTTTAGTCGGGGACATCCCAAGTCTGTATACAAATGCTTCGTTTGTAAATTATGTCTGAGTGTTGGCGTGTGCCCCTGGCTATCCGTAATTAAATAAAAAACAAGAAAATTGTGCCGTCTGGTTTGCTTAATATAAGGAATTTGAAATGATTTATACCTTTACTTTTACTTTTGATACTTAAGTATATTTAAAACCAAATACTTTTAGACTTTTACTCAAGTAGTATTTTACTGCGTGACTTTCAATTTTACTTCAGTCATTTTCTATTAAGGTATCTTTACTTTTACTCAAGTATGACAACTGAGTACTTTTTCCACCACTGGGTCTTCATAAGGTCTGTCATTTGGACAGTCATCATCATGATTGTGCTAAGGTCAGGACCTCTCTAGTAAAGGTACAGAGAGGCCCTATGAGGAGACTTATAATTGCCTAGTCAAAATATTTGCCCAGTTTCCACGGTGACTACCCGTTGAGGCCTACTGGGGCGGCTAACAACACCCACGGAGTGCCACGCTCACTTGTCATTACCGCACACTTCCCTTCCTGGCTGCGAACGCTGGGACTCATTCTGGGAAATTAGCCAGCGACGTCTCCGAGAAAGCCTGTGGTTACGCCCTGGGTCTGCCATTAGTTAGTTAGCATCGGCACTAAGTGCCTGGCCTGACTGCTATTTGTTCTAATGGAAAACTTTATTCACTCCCCTGCCAGACTGGCTATTGATGGGTCCTCGCTCAGAACCTTTTGAACCCATCTCCCCTGAGATGCTCTGGCTCTGTCTGCCTGGGAGAAAGGTCGTAAATCAGAGAATCAGCCACCATTAGCGCTGGCTCTGCACCGCAGAACGCTAGCTTGGCTGGCTGGGGAGGGCCCAAAGTACACCCATGACTCATAGCGGTGTCGAGCTGTGTTAATTAAGTTTGTGTGGCTGGGCTCTGGACAGATGTTGTTTTTTAACGAGATGACAAAAAACACTGAGAATTGGGACCAGCCTGCTAGATACAGTACAGAACGATGGGGGGGGGGGGGGGGGGGGGGGTCACCTTGATGTCTATGGCGATTCGTTACACACAGACTATCCCTATAGAAAGGCCTACACACAGAGGCAAAATGCCAAATGGAAAAAATAAATGTTCCATTCAGGTAGCCTAGTGGTTAAGCGCATTGGGCTAGTAACCAAAAGGTTGCTGGTTTGAATCCCCGAGCTGACTGTGAAAAATCTGTCATTGAGCAAGCCACTTAACCCTAATTGCTCCTGTAAGTCGCTCTGGATAAATTACTAAAATGTAAAACAAATGTACATTTCACGGGGCTCACACCACACAATATGAAGCAATAAAATGTGTTGGTACCGTGCAAGACAGGAGCTTTATTATATGTCTCGCATGGCAGGTATGATGTACAGGTAACTGCCGAAATACATGAAACACCAACATAAAGTGTCTTAATAGGGCGTTGGGCCAGAACAGCTTCAATGCACTTTGGCATAGATTCTACAAGTGTCTGGAACTCTATTGGAGGGATGCAACACCATTCTTCCACGGGAAATTCCATAATTTGGTGTTTTGTTGATGGTGGTGGAAAACGCTGTCTCAGGCGCCGCTCCAGAATCTCCCATAAGTGTTAAACCACCTATGCTCGTTTTAGACCCCTCTTTCAAAGTCACTGAGATCTCTTCTTCTAGCCATGTTAGGCAAAATAATAATAAATAACTGGCCATTTTTATACATGACCCTAAGCATTATAGGATGTTAACCGCACCTGTGTGGAAGCACCTGCTTTCAATATACTTTGTATCAGTGTTTCTTATATTTTGGTAGTTAACTGTATATAGGGAACATGCAGTGCATATATACTCAGCAATCATATTTACAACATTATGACATTATAAGTAGCTCTGAGGTGATTAACTATGAGATGACGCAGTGAGGGGAAGAAACCCCAGAAAGATGGCATGAGTGGTTATGCTTGTCCACCCACACATAAACAAAACTCCAAACTTGAACTCTGCATTGCCCCTTCTCTCTGTCACTCTCACACACACGCCTCCATGCACACACACACACACACACACAAGAACACTCATAAACAAATGATGAACCCTTACTTCAGATTAAAAGCACGCGTGGATTAAATGTATTCCACCACACAGCCACCAGCGTTAAGCATGCTTTAGAAACCAAAAGCAGGCTTTATGGGCCGCACAGCAGCGGTTTGGTTGGTTGTCACACAGGCACGTACTCGCTAGCACTGTTACATAACAGGCAGCCCACATCCCTGCTACCTCTCTTGGTCAGAAGATTAAGAGTGGGGGGGGGGGGGGATTTTGATGGATCTCTGAGAGGATTAATTCACACTTGTGGTGCACTAAACACACTTGCGCACAGATACACACACGTGCGTAGAGTCACTCAAACACACGTACACTCACACACACCTATCTGCCACACACCTATCTGACGACACATCTGACCCATATCTACCGCCCAGAGAAACATAGTGTGTGCGTGGCGTGTGAGTGTGAGTGTGTGTGCAGCCAAGCCCCTAGCTGCCTGTATCCTGGGATTACAATACATTGTATTTCCAAATAAAGGCTCTCACACTAATCTTCTCGTTGATATTCATTGATGCCATTGCCAAGTCCTAAACCCCAAAACATTGTTTAGTGGCATTTTCCACTGGCTAAATGATAATCTTCTATTTTTGGGGTTCAGGTATCATTCTGCCTGAAATACCACTCAACGCCGACTGCAAGTTAAGTGCAGTGATTGCAGTTGCACATACTCGCCCACACCAAAAATAACAATCTGAACATATTGACCTTTAAGATGAAATGCGATTATGACTCAAAGTAAGTGTACCGTTAAGTCTCAAAATTCAGTGCAGTGACTGGACACAGTAGCCCCTGGATAAGAGCAAACTTGAAACAAATTGAGCTTTAAGCCTTAAAGTATGTGTATTTTCCTACGATTTTCCTAAGGATAAGAGACCTGTCTCGACTGAACAAGCTTTGTCAAAACGTCAACACTGAAAAGTCTCCCTCAGCTCCATGTTGACCTGTTTTCTATTGAAGCCAAATGATGCAATTATACTGAAAGACAAGACACGCAGCAGGAACAGCATCTCTCTCTTCTCTGCATAGAGGCGTGATGTGCATCTAAGAATTCATTCTAAATTCCAAGGCATTTGATTTCATAAGGCACAGTCCTACTCAATAGCTCATCAGTGGCCATTCAATCACATCTCTTACCGCCACTGCCTCCAGAATCTGCTTGATGACGTGGGCAGCATCTCTCTCGCTGTAGTACCCTCTCTCCACAATCCTGAAAGAGACAAACGGACAAGGAGTCAAAACGTTACACAGAGTTCAAATGCCCCACTTTGAGAGATTCTTCCATTCTTAACTCTGTGAAAGTCAGAAAACATGGAGAGAATTGTAGGCAGTTGTTACTGTCAAACTTTGCTAAACCTATAAGGTGATAGTAGGATAAAGAGATTAAAAAACAATTTAATTTGGTTACAGTGCTATTATACCAAAATACAAAAGAACAGTAGAGAAAGGGTCTATGATATTGCGTAATATTCATAATGAGTTCTACAGATTGGGTGGGGCCTGTGCTCCAACCAGTCTTCTAATCGTTTCCTTGGCAACAGTGCTGGTGAGGGCCATTACAAATGTCATTTTCTAATCCTTTTATACTCTGCATCTCAATAAAGCCTGTGTCATACATTTCTGCTAATGACAAAGCAGGGAAATGGAACGGGGGGGATCGCGTGAGGCCACTGGTTCCACCTCTGGCCCCGCCGAAGTGAAACCAATTTCAGCAAGAATTTGGGGTTTAGACGGGGTCATGGGGGTGGCATATTTTTGGGCGTAATCACCTGTCAAAGAGTTCCCCTCCGGTAACCAGCTCCAAGATGAGGGCGATGTCGGTCTCCGTCTCAAAAATCTCCTTCAGGCGGATCTGAGGGCCCAAACCACAGGTTAGAGAGGAAGATGAGATTGAGAAAACCACTAAATGTTGGAAAAACACAAGACAACATTTCAAAAACATTAATGCTACTAGAAAGAAGAAGTCACCATTAAAGTTTTAATCATGCTCTTAGAAATGGTTAACAAAACAATATACACTGAACAAAAATATAAATGCAATCCCATGTTTAATGAGCTGAAATAAAAGATCCCATACATTTTCCATATCCACAAAAAGCTTGTTTCTCTCAAATTTGGTGCACAAATTAGTTTAAATCCCTGTTTCCTTTGCCAAGATAATCCATCCACTTGACAGGTGTGGCATATCAAGAAGCTGATTAAACAGCATGATCATTACACAGGTGCACCTTGTGCTGAGGACAATAAAAGGCCACTCTAAAATGTGCAGTTTTGTCACACAACACAGTGCCACAGATGTCTCAAGTTTCGAGGGAGCATGCAATTGGCCGTCATTGTAAATAAAAATGTGTTTTTAACTAAAAAATTATAAAAAAATTCCACTGGCACGCTGGAGAAGTGTGCTCTTCACGGATGTATCCCAGTTTCAACTGTACTGGGCAGATGTGGGTGAGTGGTTTGCTGATGTCAACGTTGTGAACAGAGTGCCCCATGTTGGCGGTGGGGTTATGGAATGGGCAACAATTGCATTTTATTATAGATACCGTGACGAGATCCTGAGACCCATTGTCGTGCCATTCATTCGCCGCCATCACCTCATGTTTCAGCATGATAATGCACAGCCCCATGTCGCAAAGATTTGTACACAATTCCTGGAAGCTGAAAATGTCCCAGTTCGTCCATGGTCTGCATACTCACCAGACATATCACCTAGTTTGGGATGCTCTGGATCGATGTGTACGACAGCGTGTTCCAGTTCCCGCCAATTCACACAGCCATTGAAGAGGAGTGGGACAACATTCCACAGGCCACAATCAACAGCCTGATCAACTCTATGTGAAGGAGATGTGTCGCGCCGCATGAGGCAAATGGTGGTCACACCAGATACTGACTGGTTTTCTGATCCACGCCCCTACCTTTTTTTTAAGGTATCTGTGACCAACAGATGCATATCTGTATTCCCAGTCATGTGAAATCCATAGATTAGGGCCTAATGAATTTATTTCCTTATATGAACTCTAACTCAGTAAAAGCTTTGAAATTGTTGCATGTTGCGTTTATATATTTTTTCAGTGTATGTCAAAAACATTCTAGTTACTAGTGTCCTACAACAAGTCACCACTATAGTTCATGTCAATCATGGATAGTCTTAGAAATGTCAATCATGGATAGTCTTTTTTTTGAAAGTGGTGTCTCAGATAACAATAAAGGTAAAAGAAAACGGTGAACTCTTACAATATTTGGGTGGGAAAGTCGCAGCAGAACTCCAATTTCAGTCCGCACTATTTTCTTGTCAATCTGAAATTGATTAATATGCATTAATATGATATGATACTTAGTGTAACTCAGATGTTCAAAATGGCCGAAGGAAGGACTCACAGTCTTCTTGAGGACCTTTGCAGCATAGGGCTTCTGTGTCTGCTTCTCCTCAGTGCGAAATACCACTGACGTAGCCCCCCTGGGAAGAAGAACAATCAATCAACATCTACAACTATGATCAAATGGCTGTCTCTCCATAGTGCAATGATTCAGCATTTTAGCTTAAGTTCTGCTCATGAACTGCTTATGAATCATTATTTCATTGTTTGTAAGTATTATGTAAAAAGCTCATATCATCATAAGTAAATACATATACAGTACCAGTCAAAAGTTTGGACACACCTCCTCATTCCAGGGTTTTTCTTTATTTTTACTATTTTCTACATTGTAGAATAATAATGAAGACATCAAAACTATTAAATAACACATATGGAATCATGTAGTAACCAAAAAAGTGTTAAACACATTTCTTCAAAGTAGCCACCCTTTGCCTTGATAACAGCTTTGGTAGAATGCCCTGCTCCGATAGAATGCCCTGCTTTTATTTCGGCACACTCACAACCGTAAGCTATTTCTGTAATTAGCTCGCCATTAACTTGTAAATAATGAGTTTATTTTCCTGTAATAATTAATAAATATTAGCTAAAGTTAAGACGTTGTCAGCTATGATTTAGTCATTATTTGAACTGCCTAGCCAGCTAACTTAGTGTTAGCTAGCTAGCTAACAAGCTAGAAACTAACCAAAACATTGTTTAGAAAGTTGCTTTTAGTTGCCTGGTATGCTAGATTGACATATACTGAATTCATTTTTAAACGGATGGGTTTATTGGTGTTAAAATACACCAGTTATGCTATTTTGCACCACCAGCCTGTCGTTTTTGTGTTTATACTTTTTCATAATGACAACAACAAGTTTGATGTCGGACGACAATAGAATGTTCATGATGTCACTGCGACAACTGTCTACAGACATGTCGATAGACGTAGTATAAACCAGCCTTTAGTCTTTAAATATTTGGTTGTTTAGTACACTGTTTAGCACATGTGAATCCTTAGAGAGATGGGTGGAGCTAAGGCTTAAGAGGTTGTGAATTATGCTGAATGGGTGTAGACAAAGAAGAGCTCTCCAGTAGATGTTCTCAAAAGTGGGGTTACAAGTTTATCAACTTTCAAAGCAGAATTAATTTCCCATTGTTCCTCAACTGTAGTGTATGATATACAATTTTCTAGCTCTGAGTCTCTAATTTTTTCCAATGTAAAAAACACTATTTAAAATGTTTCTACATAAGACTGTGTAATAATGAGTGCGTACTGGCAGCAGCCAGCAGCCATCTAATCTGGGATTTCCCCTCAGTAGTATCCCTATGTGGGCACAGCGCTGTGCCCTGGCCTGCTTAGGAAATGAGTCCCTACATCTCCAGCTGTCCTGCTCCTGCTAATACAATCCAGGCATAATCCGCAGCCCTCTCGACTCTACTCTCATAGCTTTAGGGTCTCCTTGGCAACCAGGAACCCTCTCCTCGAAAAGTAGACCCCTAACAACCATGCACGCCCTTATATGGGGAGGCCGAGGAAACTGAGAGTAGGTTATGTACATATACAGTATGCATACATGCATGAAGCAGGTACCTGTGGCTGAACTGGCCTATTGTTGACTAACGACTAACTGTAGAGACATCATCAAATGCCGATCACCGATGATGATTCATTCGGTAAACATCCGATTCTGAGTCAATATGCGCTGTTGGTGTTCAATTATTACTGCTAATTCTAGCAACATTTTGTAATCACCATATCATTGGATTTTAGTCCAGTGTTATCTATTTAAGTCCTATAGGGGCACGTATAGCCAGCTTTTTGAGAGCTCGGTATACAGTTTATGTTTTACCGCTGACAGTGAGATCTCTCTTTTCAGTCTCACACAGAATTTGGTGACAAAATTGGTGTCCATCCTTTACGCAGTTGCAGGAGAGGAGAGAACTGCTAATACAGTTCAAATAAAATGAGATGTAGTATAACAGACATGGTAGCATTAGAGCTGCATTCTGAGGCTTTTACCTGTTCCACAGCTGTCTAATGGAAATATTTTGACTGACTCATAGTACAGGGCCAATCCCAACTGCACTGTGCTGGTTCGGATATTGTCTTTACACATTGATCTTTCCAGCACGGTTACACCAGCTATATGGTGGTTGTGTAACCAGGCCAGCCCAGTACAGATCTGCTTGGCTTGGATTGGTTGTGCCCTATAGTGTGAATCAGGTGTTTTCAGTTAGGAGTCAGGACCACCTGTCTCTCTGACATGGTGGGATTTTGTTGTTTACGCTTGTTGCCAAATGACCTCACCAAATGCATGAATGCACAGAAGGGCTCCAATGGTCACTCCATTTGACAGTCAGACCTCCAAACTTCAACACTCCACTGACTCTCACTCCAAGTGACAAATATTGACAAGTTGACATTGTCAATCTGGACGTGATGTAAAAGCATACTTAAGCCATAGAGGCATATGGACTGATGGGAGTGGAGGGTTCAGAGGTAATGGAAATGGGAGATTCCATATAAAGCCTCAGAAAATGGGTCTTAAAACCTGTTTCCTCTCCATACTTGCACTAATGCCCTCACGTTTCACTGTTGTCCAGTGATAATTAGGCCGGATGTTGAGCCTGTTTTCCATGATGTCCCATTTCCATAGCAAACATGTTGGGCAGAAGATCTCTGACAGAGTGAAAATACTGTGTTGACATGTTGAATGTGTCTTGACAATAATTTTAGTAGGCTACTTGTGAGGTGAGAGGATGGGAGATGAATTGTCAGGAGGAGCTGTCCATGGCCTGAACTCCGCATGTAATTGATGAATTGTACATGAATGTGTGTTCTGTCTGTCTTAGAGTATCAAATCTAAACTATGAGATAGACACATTAGATGAATACTGACATTTTAAACATGGTATTTCAAAATGAACCCTTTAGCTATACCCATAGATTAATATGACAAACTAGATCCCAATGGATGGAATTCCACTCATATAATACTGTATGTTTCTACAGAACATGACCAGAAACAACCCTTTTGATAGTTATGAAGGTGATGATGCTGGTGGTGTTTACACATTGGTGTCAATTAAGGAACACACAGTTCAGTACTCTACCTTCCCAGTTCAGGGCCTATGGTGTAGAACTCCTCCATGGAGACATCTCGGCGCGAGCCATCGACCCAGTATTCCACGGGGCTAGCGCCCGAGCGTGAGGTGGGCATTTTGATATTGGCCAATCACACAAATCACAGGATTCCTGAGGAGCGCAAAGCCCAAACGCACGCACACTACTTTTCCTATTTTTAAGATTAAAACGTAATGTTCAGATTACGCGAAACGAAGAGAAGGCATTATGTTTATTGAATTCCCCCGCGCCAAATCACGACAAGCCATGTAGAGATAACCAGTCTTTGGTTAACGACTCTCACCGTTATGTTAAATCAAAGATAATCCAAATGTTTACGTTGCCACACATAAATATATTGTCAGCGCCGATATCAAAACCCATGTAGGCTTTGCATTACAGCTCAAGTTTAGTCACTATGCAATATAGCACGTAACAAAAACCATCCATTATTGTTCTATTATTGCAATATACCGACACAATTTAATTCGCCCATTCATAACTATCCTTTACTCGAAGTTTACTGCATCATGTCCACATTTGTCGCAGCTTCCATGGGTCCTCGCCGTGTGAGTCCCGAATCCATAAACCTATAGCCTACGCTTTGAATCTTTTGCAGTACAATCCCACCCACAACAGCGCACTCATGAAAATATTACTATATCATGCAACGAAGCACCTCAATAGTCCCGAGGTCCGTGACAAAGAACAGTCCATGGTCCGAGATAGAATACTTTAATTAAGGTGCGAATTAAATCATGATCCGTCAATAGGCCTATGTGTATATTGTTGTTCCATAATATTCGCAAATATAGATTTCGTCTCGCTGATGCACGCTTCACTATTGGTCTCTATATGAACGCCCATCCAATGGTCTGCACTTATCTCGCTATACAATATGTGTTCCTCCTTTCATCCTCGGTTTGGGGTGGGTAGGTGGTAGCCGTGGCTGTGAGGCTGGTGTATTCGGTGTTGGGGGTAGGAGGACCATCAGATACAGTCATTGAGGGGGAAATCTGCTCCACGCCCATTTCTTCCAATCCGTTGCATTCACAGCAACCACAATCTGCGCTGCAATTGGAAGTCAAACAGTCAATCAAAACCAATGTTATGCATTTATCCCACTGTAAAGCCCTGGTCCACATATGCAACCAACATGTCAATGAGGGGAATATCCCGATAATACGCCACTGATTTCAACGGTTGTCAACACTACTGGCAATCTCTTTTTGCTAATCTGTGTGGAGGAACCCGGTGCCTAATCGTTAGATTCAGTATATTTAGTAGAAAGAGATCAAATTATTTATCAATTGTGAAAAATCATGTCCCGTCCGGTGTGCTTCCATGCTGTGTTCAACTCGGTGGTTATAGTGCGTACTAGACTAGTGAACGATTAACACGCGACTACAAATGGTGCCATTTACCAACGTCAGTTAACAGAAACACTTTAAGCAATACAACCCTGAGAACTCTATCACTCAGCTGGTAAACTGTCCAGATGTGCCCTCGCCAGCACACATCTCCAAAGCCCAGTGGCTTCCGGTTGTTTGCAGCAGAAGCAGGTGAACAGATGCTGCCACATTGAGGCTCTTAATTAAGGCTATCTTACAAAATAATGTAGCAGTATTTATTCATCACTTAAAATGAGTAATACATCCAAATCAAATCAAATCAAATGTTATTCGTCACATGCTTCGTAAACAACAGGTGTGGACTAACAGTGAAATGCTTTCTTACTCCACAGCCACATTTTGAGGTTACTGTAACAATACATGTATTTTTATCTAATCTTAGAAAGCTTGCATGTTCAGGGTCACAGGTCTGTGGAAATCTTCACAATTGCTATAATAATCTGCACAGAATCTCAAACGATGTTTCAGAATTTGCAAGCAGTCCAGCACATTTAGGTTGGGGGAAAAGTCAATGCAAAACGTTGTTGAATTCAAACGTTCTGCTGACAGGTCCACAACAATTTGACATTGTTTTCTCTTCCAGAAATGGTCACAGTCCTTTGCCAAATAAAGTATAAGTCACATGATTGAAAATATTTTCAAGAAAAGCAAAATAATAAAACATTCTGCCAACACTTCGAAAAACAGTTGATCAAATTTGCCATTGCTCTTTCTTTTAGAAACTGCTGTGGACAAATTCCAATAGTTCTAGAGCAGGGGTGTCAAACTCATTTTAGCTCAGGGGCCACATGGAGGAAAATCTATTCCCAAGTGGGCCGGACCGGAAAAATCATGGTATATATAACTTAAAAACAACAACTTCAGATTGTTTTCTTTGTTTTAATACGATCAACATACAACATAAAGCTGGAGCCTGAGGACAGTGTGTCCAAAATAGTACAAGCACAACATCACTATTAATCATAAAACACGTCAAGTTTATTAGAAAATTCTAAAGAAAAAGAACACACAAACACACAATGCCTCAGTGATTAACAGAACTGTTTCACAGATCACATAACTATATCAGGGTGTCATTTCTCAGGCAGAAATGTAGATAAAAATAATGAAATCCTGTTCCCCAAACAAGTGCAAGAACCACAGAGTCAAGAATAGGTTAAATATACAAATAAAATAAAATCAATTAAAAACAATAGTACATCAACATAAAAACATAAAGCTGGAGCCTGAGGACAGTGTCCAAAAGCACAACATCACTATTAATCATAAAACACCTCAAGTTATTTGAAAGTTCTGAGGACAAAGAACACACAAACACGCAATGCCTCAGTGATTAACAGAACTATTTCACAGATCACAGAACTATATCAGGGAGTCATTTCTCAGGCAGAAATGTAGATACAAATAATGAAATCCTGTTCCCCAAACAAGTGCAAGAACCACAGAGTCAAGAATAGGTTAAATATACAAATAAAATAAAATCAATTAAAAACAATAGCACATCAACATAAAAACATATAAACATAAAGCTGGAGCCTGAGGACAGTGTCCAAAAGCACAACATCACTATTAATCATAAAACACCTCAAGTTATTTGAAAGTTCTGAGGACAAAGAACACACAAACACACAATGCCTCAGTGATTCACAGAAGTATATCACAGATCACAGAACTATATCAGGGTGTCATTTCTCAGGCAGAAATGTAGATAAAAATAATGAAATCCTGTTCCCCAAACAAGTGCAAGAACCACAGAGTCAAGAATAGGTTAAATATACAAATAAAATAAAAACAATTAAAAACAATAGCACATCAACATAAAAACATATAAACATAAATCTGAAAGCGTTGCTCAAACTCCCGTAACAGTCCCGTTATTTTATCTTTGAACCGCTTCATGTCTGCCACATGTTGGGTCGCGCACACATTTTTCAGACAGGGGAAGTGAGCTGCATCACCACCGGCAAGTTGCGTCTCCCACAATGACAGCTTCAACTTGAAAGAACGTATGCTGTCATAATACTGCGTGACAACTTTGTTGCGCCCTTGCAGCTGTTTGTTCAAGTTATTCAGGTGCTCTGTAACATCCACCATAAATGCAAGGTCCTGCATCCATTCTGCGGAATGAAATTCTAACACTGGTTTGCCCTTTTCTTCCATGAACTGTTCAATTTCTTCTCGTAAATCAAAGAAACGCCTCAGCACAGCACCTCGGCTTAACCATCTTACCTCAGTGTGGTATGGCAGGCCATTGATGTGGTCTTTCTCTCTGAGAAGGCTGTCAAACTGACGGTGATTCAGGCTTCTGGATCGGATGAAATTAACAGTTTGGATGACCACCTTCATGACGTTATCCATCTTTAATGACTTGCAACACAAAGCCTCCTGGTGCAAAATACAGTGAAAAGTCAAAAAATCACGTCCTCCAATTGCAGATTGCACTTTCTCTCTGAACTTTGTCACAACGCCTGCTTTTTTCCCGATCATTGAGGGCGCACCATCTGTAGCCAGGCTGACAGCGCGGGACCAGTCCACTCCGACCCTGTCCAGCGCGCCGACGAGTGCGGTAAAAATATCAGCTGCTGTCGTTGTATCTGTCATCGGCACCAACTCCACGAACTCCTCGGTGACGGTCAATGTGTCATCAACTCCGCGGATGAAAATGGCCAGTTGTGCAACATCTGTAATGTCTGTGCTTTCATCAATTGCAACCGAAAACGCAATAAATGACTTTACTTTTTGCTTCAACTGGCTGTCCAAATCCACTGAAAGATCGGAAATCCTGTCTGCAACTGTGTTTCTTGTCAGGCTGATATTTGCAAAAGCCTGCCGCTTTTCAGGGCACACAATCTCCGCTGCCTTCATCATGCATGTTTTTACAAATTCACCCTCACTAAATGGTTTTGAAGCCACTGCGATTTCATTAGCAATGAGGTAGCTAGCTTTCACTGCAGCGTCACTGATGTCTCGGCTGTGAGTAAACACAGACTGCTGTTTCTTCAGACCCGCCAACAGTTCATTCACCTTCTCTCATCTCAGCTGTCCTTGAAAGTTGTCATATTTGTCGGCATGAAGACTCACATAGTGGCGACGAAGGTTATATTCTTTCAGCACTGCAACATGCTCTGAACACACCAAACATACAGCTTTCCCATTCAATTCCGTGAATAAATAGGATGACCATTTTTCTTGGAACACTCTGCACTCTGCGTCCACTTTTCTCTTTTTTGACAGAGACATATTGGGGCAATGAGGGTGCCAAAGCACATAATGTTAAAAGTAGAAGCCGTAATAAATATCGCGGGCAAAACAAAGTAGCTCATTGGCTGCACGTGCTTGACCTATTTGCTCTGCCCCGGTATAAACAGTTTGCTTGCTTAACACAATTGCTATTGCGCCATCCAGTGGACGCAATTGGAACAGCAGTTTATTTTATTGAAAAATTGCAGCGCATTTTTATACTTTACAAAATTATTATTATTAATAATTATTTATTTTAATTTTTAATTTTTTTAATCATCTCGCGGGCCGGATTAAACCCGTTTGCGGGCCTGATCCGGCCCGCGGGCCGGACGTTTGACACCCCTGTCTTAAAGTAATGATGGACTGTCGTTTCTCTTTGCTTATTTGAGCTGTTTTTGCCATAATATGGACTTGGTCTTTTACCAAATAGGGCTATCTTTTGTATACCTACCTTGTCACAACACAACTGATTGGCTCAAACACATTAAGAAGGAAAGAAATTTCACAAATTAACTTTTAAGAAGGCACACCTGTTAATTGAAATGCATTCCAGGTGACTACCTCATGAAGCTGGTTGAGAGAATGCCAAGAGCTGCCATCAAGGCAAAGGGTGGCTATTTGAAGCATCTCAAATATAAAATATATTTTGATTTGTTTAACACTGTTTTGGTTACTACATGATTCCATATGTGTTATTTCATAGTTTTGATGTCTTCACTATTATTCTACAATGTAGAAAATAGTAAAAATAAAGAAAAACCCTTGAATGAGTAGGTGTTCTAAAACCTTTGACCGGTAGTGTATTTAGATTAATCATCAGTGCAACTGTTGGAGAAAATGTCTCGGTGTTCATATGTTGGTATGAAGTTTGGGCTCTGCAGGCCTATTTAGAGATTATAAAATTGTAAGATGCAAATAATACGCTGTTTTAGCAAGATACCAATAACACATACAGAATGTGACCATTTCTTTCTCGTCACCTAAAAAAACTTGCTTACCTATTCAACAAGTCAAAGCCAAACCAACTTGGACACTTTCCTGTATAATGAAGAATGTGTTTCACCATCAAGTCAGAGCGAGGGACAAATATGAGTAACATAC